GATGTGAATGCTACAGAGGGCCTGGCTAGACTTGGGGTGGGGCCAGGGGGCGTGGGATTCTCATTTTTTAACCACAGGAGGCCAAAATGCAGCGTGTAAACCTGACAAGCCAGAAGTACCACCAGGAGAGCATTAGTTTCATGTCAAGGCAGTGACCCCCCAAAATAAACTGTCGGAAGTTGAAGAACAGAGACAGGGGCTTCTGGATGGAGTAGGGTGGGCTGGCGGGAAGAAGGCTGGAGGTCTGTCCTGCTCCAGCGTGCAGCCCTGTGACTGCCAAGCTGAGTACCTGTGCACACCTGTGTGTGCCTTTGCACACCTGCGCTTGATAACTGTGTGGTTGCTGCTTTTACTCCTTAGTCTCCGGCCTGGGTTAGGGGTCCAGAGGTGTCCTGTAAGGAATGATGCCTCCCCTTCTGTTTTGTGCAGAGAGGTGATGGTTAGGCCAGAGGGCATGCTGCCCTCACATGACCAGGAGCAGGGCCTGGTCATCCCTGGTCAGCGGAGAGACGAGTGGGGGACCCTTTGGTAGCCTCTTGGGGGGCCCACAGCACTGCTCCTGGGGGCTGACATGAAGGGTTGAGTGGGAAGCCTTTGCTTCCAGCGGCGCCCCCTCTTCACCCTGATTAACGGGGTGCATGAGAGGAGCAGACGTGTCCTCTGATACTCCTGTAAATGGTTGCATCCTTTCAGCATGTTTGCATAAAGCTCGACTGTTTTCCCAAGTATTGTCATGTGCATTTTAAGATTTTATTGTCTTTAAAATTACACAGAGACAGCTCTGTGGATATATTAGAAACCACTGAATTGTACCCTTTAAGTTGGTGAATTGTATGTCCATAAAGCTGTTAACAGATATAATGTGGTCAGGACGGCTGTGTTGCCCAAAGCGGCTGGAGGCACCCCTGCCCTGAAGACCGGCCTGCCTGACCCCCGCCTCCCACACGAGGAAGATCCTCTTGGTGTTGAGCTGGGCGGGCAGCAAGGTCTCAGAGCCTTGGTGACGACAGACGCCGGGACAGCAGCTTCTGAGGCCCCCGTCCTGGAGTGTGTCGAGAGGAGCCGCCGGTCACAGATTTCAGCTGGGCACTGAGTGGCCGCCCTCCGTCCACGGTGGACACGACTGGACACTGCAGCATCCACGTCTGTGCACAGATTCGTGAATGTGATGCATGCCTCTCAAGGGCATGAGGAATGACCTTTCTATCTGAGACCAGCACCATGCTTCCCTTCTAGCATTTTCTAAGCCCTCCCCCTTAAACCAGGGGTGGTTAGTCGGTTCGTAAGAGGTGATCTAGGGTCACCCCTCCAGCTGCAGAGGCAGGTGGCCTCTGGGTGCCTCCAGGTGCAGCTCGGGCGGCTCAGAGGCATCCTCAGCAGCGGGGAGAGCCATTGTGTGCACGCAGCTGCTCTCGAGATGCCCCCGGAGAGGTGGTCATTCTCAATGCGTGGACATTACGGTCATTCTCAGTGGGTGGACATCTGGGCTGTCTCCATGGGCCATCACCCATCAGGCGTCTGTAACCCTTCACGTACGAGTGCGTTCCTCTGCTCTCATTTCTCTTGAGCAACACCTGGAAGTGAAATGGCTGGATTGTGTGTAGGAGTTAGGCTGACCTTCTGAGCAATCTTGAGTTTTCCAACCTGGCTGTGAAATTTTCCAGTCGTGGCAGCATTCCTCCACGCCCTGCAAACACCTGGCGTGCGTGTGCAGCCATCTTAAGTTCTGGCCATTCAGACACACGTTGACCTCACTGCAGTGGGATTTACACTCTCTAACGGTCTTGAGACCTGAGTTGACTGAACCTTGTTCTACGGTCCAGCCTATACTGTGCCCTGATAAATGTTCCACGTGCCCTTGGAAGGATTCTGCTTTTGCAGGCTGGAGTGTTGTCGGTGTTAGTTTAGGTTGAGCTGCTTCTGGTAAGACGGCTGTTCTGTCAGTGCTACAGTCCAGGGACAGTAGTAACCATACGGGGCAGGAGAGAGGGTGGAGCTTCCCGGAGCTTCTGTGGCTGGAGGGCACAGTGAGTGGGGAAGTTGACCTGGCGTCTTCTCCTGAGACTCTGTCTGCACAGGGCTTCCCAGGTGGCGTGTGGTAAAGCGCCCACCTGCCAGGTTGGGAGACTTGAGAGACTCCGGTCCAGTCCCTGAGTGGGGAAGATCCCTTGGAGGCAGGCACAGCAACCCACTCCAGGAGTCTTGCCTGGAGAATCCCGTGGACAGTGGAGCTTGGCGGCCTACAGTGCATGGGGTCGCACAGAGTTGGACACGACTGAAAGGACTTAGCACGCACGCATGTCTGCACAGCTGTAGCAGAAGCAGCATGATTTGCCAGTAAATTTCTCATATTAGAAGAACCATTGGGAGCCGGTCTGTCTGCCTACAGCTGGTTGCGAAGTAGGGCTCTCTTGTGGATGTTTCTATGGCTTCCCATGTCTGTTTGCCCAGGGAGGTGCTGGCTGGCTTGGATGGGGTGTCCGTCGCTGGGCTTGGTTTTCTGTCTCTTATGTGCAGAAAGAGCACGTTCTTAATTTCCAGACCTGTTTTTGTTTTTTCCTCTGAAACCTCCAAATGGAGTACTTTGGCCTTGGGGAATTGGAACCATCCCCCAAATCATCAGCCCCATGGATGTTGATTTATCCTCCAAATTTTGAAGAAAAAGGAAAGTGGACTTCAGAAAATGCCTGCTTCAAGTCAACAGGAGCTTATTCTAACATGGTAACTAATTAACAATTTGCTTTAAAAGCACTGGTTAATATTTCCTAAGGAAAATCTTGGTACTTTGTGTCCAGTTGTAGCTTCTTTGTTGAAATTCTTAGGAATCCTAAGGACAGATTGGCCCTGGTGGAGTTCAGGCCCCCAGCAAGGCACTCCCCAGACATCAAGGCTGAGTGAGGTACTGAGCGAGGACTCAGCCTCCGTGGTTTCAGGAGTCACCTGCTGAGTGGACTTCCAAGTCACCGTTTCAGGGACAGATGGGCCCTATGGTGGAGGGCTGGTGGGGGACCCTTGGCTTCGTGTCAGTTGGCTCGAGGTGGTCCCCACCCTGCAGGTCAACAGTGGGGGAAGGCCGAGCGTGGCAGCGCCCCCAGCCTGCCCTGTGCAGAGCGGTGTTTGTGGTGGCGTGGGTGGGTGGGTCCAGCACGCTGGATGCCCTGCCGGGCTGACCCGCCCCAAGGGTGCCCTGCCCACGGGCAGCCCCGTGTGGTCCGAGGGCCACTCTCCCCCTGGCTGACCCACTCCGCCTTCCCACCCTCTCCTCTCCGATCTTTCCTCTCTCTCTTGCTCGTCTGCTCCTTTTCTTTCTTATTTTCATTTGGGAGAGTTCCGTAGAGAGAGCTGGGCGGTGCCTCCCCGGTGCCCCCGCCCCCGCCCCTACCCCACGTGTAACCGCATATGTGTCTTAGCCTCAGAATAGTGCAGTAAGTGTGTATCAAAAAGCAGTGCACTTGCGAAAATTACTGAAATACTGTTGTCTTACCTGTAAAGATTAACCACCGTTCCTTAATATCATCAAGTATTCAGTCAGTACTCAAGTTTCTAATTATTTTTTAAATGAGAGTAAATTTTTAAAATTTGAGTCCAGATGCAAGAAGTCCCCGCGTGGTAGGGTAGGTCAGCCTGTCTCCTGAGTCTCCTGGGGAGTCTTCTCCTCTTGAAGACAGCAGGTCCTCTGTTTGTCAGGGTCCTTGGATTGGGTTTTGCTGGTCACACCCCCTATAGTGTTGGCATGTGTGCCTTTGATCATAGTTGTTCAGACACTAAGTTATGTCCAGCTCTTTGCGACCCCGTGGACTGCAGCATGCCTGTCTTCCCTGTCCTTCACCATCTCCCAGAGCTTGCTCAAACTCATGTCCATTGAGTCGGTGATGCCATCCAGCCATCTCGTCCTCTGTTGTCCCCTTCTCCTCCTGCCCTCAATCTTTCCTAGCATCAGGGTCTTTTCCAGTGAGTCGGCTCTTCACATCAGGTGGCCAAAGTATAAATCACTTGGTTTTTGCATATTCAAAGGGTCTCTTCCCTTTTCCTTTAAAGTCTAAGAAATACACCGGAGTAAGTCTTAGGTGAGATCCTTTAGTGTTGGGAGTTGGTACTTGTAGGTACCCAGTATAGTCTCTCAATATGCACCTGAAACATGGTAACTCAACTATGATAAAAACATAGTAACTCGACTTGAATAAAAATAATAATAAAATGAAATAAAATCTCAAGGAAAGAACAATTATGTAGTTAAAAGCTATTTTTTAATTCTAGGGAATTTTTCCTAAGTATGGTTTTGTCTTGTTTGTTTTGGCTGCTCTGGGTCCTCATTGTGGTCTGTGGACGTCTCTCTAGCAGCAGCACTCCAACTTAGTTGTCCTGAGGCATGTGGGATCTTAGTTGCTGGACCAGGGATCAAACTTGTGTTCCCTGAATTAAAAGTTGTATTCTCAACCACAGGAAAGTCCCAGTGTCTTTCTAATGAATTTTTCTTGGAAGACAGTTGATTGGCAGTGTTGTCTAGTGGTGTGTTTTAAAAAGCAAAGGTATTAACTTTTGATGAAATCCAATTTATACTTTGAAACATAAATACCTTCTTTTAGGAGACTTTCATTCTCTGGAGTGTCACGTGTGGATTGTCCTGCTTCTTTGTTACTTCTGATGTCCGCTGTCTGCTTGCTGGGGTCCCTTTCCCGGGGTGTCTGCTGGGAGGCCTGTGGCAGCCCTGGCCTCTGCTGTGTGATCGGCTGCAGTCATGCCAGGAGCGGCAGCGTGCCCAGGAACCCCCGCGGTGGCCTGCGTGCAGGGTCTTGGTCTGCGGGTTGCGGTCCTGGGAGCTGTTGGTGGCGCCTGCCTGGAGGAGGTCTGTGCCCCGGCTGGAGCTGTGACTGGCAGTCCTGTCAGAGGACCCGACAGCCCGACTCCTCAGCGCTGCCCCTCGGAAGCTGGCTGCTCCTGAATGTGGGGATGGCCACTCGCAGAGTGACAACTCAGGTAACCTCACTTGGCCGTTGCAGGTGACGGACCTCACGAGGTATTTGGATCCCAGTGGGCTTGGCGTGATCAGCTTCGAAGACTTCTACCGGGGGATTGAGGCGATCAGGAATGGAGGTGAGTCACCCACCCCCTTCCTCGGCCCCTCCCCCCCACCTCCCTGTTCGAGACCCCCAGCCCCAGCTCCCCTGCTGAGCTTCAGGCCTCCCCCCACTCTGCCCCTCATGCCCCGCCCTCCAGGGCTCCCTGGCTCAGCTACTCATCCCTGATGTTGGACATGCATCTGTCTTTTCCATAAAGACATCCCTCGGAAGTCTTTATGGAAACCTTCAAACATACAAAATCATTGCAAGACCCACAGTGAACACCCCACCATGTATTTGCTGTCTGCAGTCTGCAGGCCGCATTGCATGTCCACCTGTCCATCTCTTTGTTTCAGTGGGATGGGTTTTAGGTTGGTTCACCACCACGCACTCCCCCAGTCACTGTGTCCTGTGTGTGTCATGACCCAGAGTTTGGTAGTGGTTTGTAGTCTCCTTTTGGGTACAAATTCTCCTTTAGTGAAGTGCACAGATCTTCAGTGAGCCCTTCTGTGAATGGTGGCATTCTCGAGCGGGGGGTGCAGACCCCTGCCCAGAGCTTTCCCCGCCCCCGGACAACTCTCTGCCAGTCTGCCGAGACCCTGCCCTCCCGCCTCGCCGCCTCAGCTGGTCTCCATCAGCACACATCAGCCTGGCCGCTGTGGGCTTCTCATAAATACACCATCAGCTGTGCTCCAGTGTCGGGTTCACACACCTGTAATGCTCGTGACCCACAGGTGCTGCTGCACGTCAGACCTCCCCCGTGTGAGCTGTGCTCACTTGTGTGCCTGTGTGCTTTACCTGCCCACCCCCGGCGGGGGACAGCAGTCTGTCTCCAGTGCCCACCCTGCAGGTGATGGACAGCAGTCTGTCTCCAGTGCCCGCCCTGCAGGTGATGGACAGCAGTCTGTCTCCAGTGCCCGCCCTGCTGGTGGTGGACAGCAGTCTGTCTCCAGTGCCCGCCCTGCAGGTGATGGACAGCAGTCTGTCTCCAGTGCCCACCCTGCAGGTGATGGACAGCAGTCTGTCTCCAGTGCCCGCCCTGCTGGTGGTGGACAGCAGTCTGTCTCCAGTGCCCGCCCTGCTGGTGGTGGACAGCAGTCTGTCTCCAGTGCCTGCCCTACTGGTGGTGGACAGCAGTCTCTCTGCAGTGTGGGGCCCTGATAAATGAACCTCCTAGTGACGTCAGGTCCAAGTCTGTGTGTGGATGCATTGTCAGGGCTCTGCGACCTGTGCTGTGTGCCCAGATTCACACGTGCCCCTCATTGGAGCCCTCCACGCAGGGTCAGAGGGTGTCTGTACAGGGCTGCAGCCGCCGGTTGGGCTGCCTGGCCTTGGTCCCTGGGGTCCTGGGATCAGTGGGGAGGTCATGGGTCCTGGGGGGCGGTGGTCCTGTTGGTGTTTCTTTTTGCCTTCACTCCCATGGGACATATTGGCTATAAGTTGAAGGTGACGGGAGTTGGCCTCAGGACTGGTGAGTCATTGGAGAAGCCTTTGCAGCTCTGTGTGAGGGTCTGGGGGTGGAAGGTGGTGGGAGTATGGGGTCAAGCCCGAGACACCAGAAAACAGTCACTCGTACCAGGAAAAACAAGGTGTGCAGTAACGAAGTGTGCTTCTGGAGCCGTGCTCAGCCAGTGGGGCCCAGTGTGTGTGTAGTCGCAGTAATTAAAGAGCTGAGCACTCAGGTGACCGGAGACCAGTGCCACACTGCCCTGTGGGCACAGGAGTCCCTGAGTGCGTGGTCAGCAAACATCCTGGAACTCGGGAGACTAGAGGGACACGGCCATGCTGAGCACCCACTGGCCACTGTCAGCCTGTGGGCCGGTTCATCTCCCAGTCATGGGTGAGAGGTCAGTCCACTCCTCGTGCCCATTGTGGGTGGCCAAGGAGCAGCCACTGACTGCTGGGCACCAGCCCTGCCTGTTGGCAGGTTGCATCCTGTAATTTACCGACAGGGGTGATGCCTCGTGGGTCCCTGGGCCAAGGGTCAAAGGGGCTGGGAGGAGCTTAGCATCTCCATGCCTTCCAGCTGGGGCTTCCGCTGCGTGAGCAGGGAGGAGCCCCGAGCAGTAGCCAGCAAGTGATGGTGCCAGGGCCCTCTGTGTGGCTCTGGGGCTCTCTCTGAGCCCTGTCCACGCTTCTGTTGCTCTGCTCTGATGGTCCATGGGTGACAAGAAAGGGAGCAAGTTCTGCTGTAGGAATTCCTGGGGCTTGTGACCTGGGAGCCCCCGCCCTGGACCTCAGGAGTCCACATGTGCTCCTGGAAGACCCGTGGCCGGGCGGGAGCGGCCAGAAGGGTCCCAGCTGTTCAGGGGGTGTGGGAGCCACCAGTGCCTCAGCTCCCAGAGCGGGCTGGGGCCAGGCCTGCGTGGGCCGCGCTGGCGGGGAGCCGTCCCTGCCTATGCGGGCCTGCTGGGCACCTCGGGCTGTGGGCCCTGCTCTTTTTTATTTGTTGGCTGAGTGGCTTGTGGGGTCTCAGTTCCCCGAGCAGGGGCTGAACTTGGGTCCTGGCAGTAGAACCGTGGAGAATCCATTGGCCCGCCAAGGAATGGCCCCTGCTTTTCCTTGTTTCTTTGGTAATCTGATGTCATCATTTAGCTTTTGTAGGGAATGGAGAGTGAAAATAAAAATAGAATAAAAGCAGGTCAGAGACGCTTTTGAAATTGTTAACTCACAGGGAGACCGGGAGCGTGCTCGCCCAGCCTGTGTTCGGCCAGAGTTCACCCCAGGCCATCCTGCCGGCGCGCCTGCCAGGGCTGCCGTGGCCGTGGGCGCGTGTGTCAGACGTGCAGCCTGTGTCCGGCACGGAGCACTGACTCTGCGTACTGACCCAGTTTTGCAGAAAAGCACAGGAGTTTGCTGTCCTCGCCATAGGCCTCGTTTCAGGAATAGAACGAGATTGAGGAGGGTGTTCCAAATGGGCCACTGCTCCAGCTCATCCCCCTGCCAGGCTCTGATGGAGAGTTGTTTGAGCTCTATAGAGAAAACTGATGTAAGAACCATACTGAGTTCCCATCCAGCTTGTAGAAACTCCCACTGCGTTCATGTCCCCTCCACCTTCCCCTCCATCTCGGGGGCAGCGCCTATCTCTGGAATCTGAGTCCACGTCCACCGTGGCTCCATGACTGGCCGCATTCTGAAAGTTTCAGATCCTCTGGATTTTGAAAGTGCAAGCAAGACTTAAGGTTTGAAGGTGGGAAGACAGGCAGTGTCAGCCACGCCTTTTCCAGCTTTGCGCTGGGAGGTGGTCCTCTCCCTCCCTGGTTCACCAAAACCTTCTCACCGTCATCTTGCCGCTGCTCTGTGCCAGGGGCCCCTCCTCAGGTGGCCCCACGAGCCCAGGCCATGGACCTCAGAGCCCGGCTGGGGGCTGATGACCTAGGTCCAGATGCCGAAAAAGAGCGTCCTCTGACCCAGGAGGCTGGTGCTGATGTCCCAGCGTCCTTTCCCAGGCACGTCGGGGGGCTGGCTGGTGCAGTTGGCTTCAGGGGCGTCCGGGTCACGTGACACACACTCAGCACGGGCCTGGCCTGTGTAGACGGTTACTGCTGGCATCTGTGTTTGCTCACAGCTCGGATGCCCTGCGTGTGGGTTTTCCTCAGGAGCAGCTCTCCGGGCTCTGTGAATACACCTGGACATCCGATAGCAGCCGCCCAGAGTGAGCACAGGTCCCTGCGGGTGCCGGCAGCCCTGCCTTCCGCCTGGCCTGACTGCAGGCCTGAGTCCCCACAGCCCCTCCTGGGCCTGATGCTTGCTAGAATGGCTCAGAGCCCCGGCAGGCGCTTTGCTGCCCATTCCCTGTTGATCTGTGAGCCGGGTCCGCAGGGCAGGGCATGACGTGGGGGTGTCTGGGCCGTGCCTCCCTCCTGGCTCCTGCGGGTGCTCCCAGCCCGAACTCCCGGACCCCCTCCGTCCGGGGTGTGAGTGGAGGCTCCGTTCCACGGGTGGGACTGCTTAACCCCTGACCTTGGGAGATTACCAGTGTCTCCACTCCTCCCTGTTCCAGGAGGTCAGAGGTCAGGGGTGGGGTATAGGTCACCTGACTGGTGTGAACCCAGGTGAGGCTGAAAGGGGCTTGTTATGCACAAAAGAAGCTCTTCTCACCCTCCACTCAGGGAACCCTGGGTCCTTGCGGCTCGGTGCTGGGTCGGGGATGAAGACCAGGTGGATGCTTGTCGTGGCGTCGGGGTGTCTCTGCAGGGTGGCTGCAGAAACAAGGGCGTCGTTCCTGCTCCTTGGATCGGGCTCGGGCTGCTCAGAGGCTGGGGGCTGGGGGCGGGGGGCAGGGCGTTTCCTTCGGGAGGGTCGCTGCTGTGGGTCCTGTCTGAGAAGCGGGATCTCTGCTGACATCAGTGTAACCCAGCATGACGTGATGGAGTTTCCTTGAGACTCATTATAAAATAAAACATATTGAAAAAAAAAAACATGTTGTAGAAGATAAAGTAAAAAAGGGGGGGAAATGAAAGCCGTGCGAGTCTGGCATGGCTGGACAGACGTTATCTCCTGACCCAACCCTCGCAGGACAGGTTCTTGAAAATACGGCATCTGGGGCTTCCCTGGTGGTCCCCCTGTACTCTCCCTGCTGAGGGCCCAGGTTCGCTCCCTGACTGGGGACCTGAACTCCCAAAGCCACATGGTGCAACTAAAATAAGTAAGTAAATAAATGAACTAATGAAAAGGGAGCCTGGCACCTCATTCCTTCTCGAGCTGGAGAGCACCACAGAGCTCCGTGTCCTCCGCCTTCTCCTTACAGCTAGCAGCTCTGTGAGGAAGGACCCTTTCACCATCCAGGCCGCCCCTCCACCAGAGCTGGCACAGAGCCGAGGTTCCCGGGGCCACACTGCCTGCGGCTTCCCGCCTGTGCCTCCCACGGCCACGCGGGCCCCACCCGTGCCCGCCCCGTGTGCCCTTTCCTGTGACACTGCCGGGGTGCCCGGGGCTGCCGCTGAGCCGTCTCCTCTCTCCCCTTCCCAGTGACACCTCTGTGGTGCCCGGGGCTGCCGCTGAGCCGTCTCCTCTCTCCCGTGCCCGCCCCGTGTGCCCGTCCCTGTGACACTGCCGGGGTGCCTGGGACCGCCGCTGAGATGTCTACTCTCTCCCCTTCCCTGTGATAACGGGGAGGCCCGGGGCCGCCGCTGAGCCATCTCCCCTCTCCCATGCCCATCCCTGTGATACCACCGGGGTGCCCAGGGCCACCGCTGAGCTGTCTACCCTCTCCCATGCCCGTCCCTGTGACACCACCGGGGTGCCGAGAGCCGCTGCTGAGCTGTCTCCTCTCCTGCAGATCCCGATGGCCCGCTGTGCGGTGTCACACCTGCCCCTGACGAGGAGCTGCCTGCCTGCCCCGAGGAGTTCGACGACTTCGTGACCTTTGAGGCAAGTGGTTTTCCTGGGAGAGCCGAGAGGGAGTCTGACGGACACACCCCCCTTCCTCGTGCACCCTAAACCCTGCGTCACTCACTGGCCCCTGGGGAGCACCGTGCAGGGCAGGCAGGGGGCACTATGACTGTCTGGTGGTTGGTAGGGGTCTGCTGTCCACATTTTGCACCCGAGGCTGATGGCAGGAGGGCCCCTGGGGCCTGGGGTCAGCAGGGGGCAGGCTCTCCTGTGTCGTTGCTGGGCCCTTCTGCCAGGCCACTGGAATGTGTGGTGAGGGTCTTGTTTTATCAAAAATGTCCCTAGACCCAGAAAATGGGCCTGGGGACGCTTGACTTACACCTTGCTGCCCTTATCCCCTGCCCCCAAGAGGGCGTCCCAGATGGCTCAGTGGGAAAGAATCTACCTGCCAATGCAGGATTGCTGCTGCTGCTAAGTCGCTTCAGTCGTGTCTGACTCTATGTGACCCCATAGATGGCAGCCCACCAGGCTCCCCCGTCCCTGGGATTCTCCAGGCAAGCACACTGAGTGGGCTGCCATTTCCTTCTCCAATGTGTGAAAGTGAAAAGTGAAAGTGAAGTTGCTCAGTCGTGTCCGACTCATAGTGACCCCATGGACCGCAGCCTACCAGGCTCCTCCATCCATGGGAGTTTCCAGGCAAGAGTACTGGAGTGGGGTGCCATTGCCTTCTCCGAATGCAGGATTAAAAGTGAAGTGAAGTTGCTTAGTTGTGTCCGACTCTTTGCGACCCCATGGACTGTAGCCTACCAGGATCCTCAGTCCATGGGATTTTCCAGGCAAGAATACTGGAGTGGGTTGCCATTTCCTTCTCCAGGGTAATGCAGGATTATCGGTGTCTAATTAGTAGGAGACTCGGGTTTCACTCCTGGGTCAGAAAGATCCCCTGGAGAAGGAAATGACAGCCCACTCCCGTATTCTTGCCTGGAGAGTCCCATGGGCAGGAGAGCCTGTCTGGCTATACTCCGTGGGAGCACAGAATTGGACACGAGTGAGCAGCTGAGCACATGCGCACCATGGGGAGAAGGCGTGTGAGTGGAGCCACAGAGGAGGCCCAGACCGCTTCATCACTGAGGTGGTGGGGGGCAGCGGCTGGGCGGGCCCTGGTGGCTCCATCTGTTTCGGCCACAAGGCATGTGGGAACCTTCGTTCCCCTACCAGGGGTCGAACCCATGCCCTCTGCATCGGAAGTCTTAAGCCCTGGACCACCTTAACCACTTAACCCCTTAACCCCTCAACCACTGTACCACCAGGGAATTCCCGAGGAATTTCCTTTTTAAAAAACACAGCTTGCTGTTGCCCGGGGCAGGGTGTGGGGAGACGGTGGGCCTGAGGCCATGCCCTTACCCTCTGGGCGTTGGCTCCTTGGGAAACGAGAGCCCCTCGGAGTGCTGATGGCCCACAGGACCCCTGCCTTCCACAGAGTCTATTTCCCTGCTCTGAGAAACTGGCCCTCAATGGCACAGGTTCACTTCTGCCAGCATGGGCCTCCAGGCCACCCGCAGCTGTTCACCCCTCACAGCTCTGTCCCAGAGCCCCAGCTGGGCCTGAGCCCCTGAGGACAGGAACCGCCCGCCGTGCGTCCCTACTCAGTAGGGGCTTGTGCCTTCGTTCTGGGTGTGACCGCGGGCGCCGGGCCATTCCTGCTCCGTGGGGACCAGGTGCCCGCGGGCACGAGTGCTGGCTGTGAGGGGCGGCCTGGTCAGGCAGGGAGGGCGTGCAGGCCCGGACACGTCAGCTGTCCAGCCCACCCTCAGCCCTGGACCCTGAGGTGGTGAGTCGGGGAAGGCTGTGGAAGACCGACACACCTGGAGCCTCCCAGCAGAGCAGCTCGGGCCCGGAGAGGCTGCTTGTCTTTGAGCGTCCAGGGAACCCTGGTCTCCTCGCTTACCTGGTTGGCCAGCAGCTGACCTCTACTGCCCACTGACACCCCAGAGCATGCTTTGCCATCAGTATCTTCTATTCTGTTCTTCTCCAGAATCTCAGAGTGTTCTGCTGATTCTTTGTATTTTATGTGTACATGGGCATCATGGGTTGAATCGTGGCCCGCAAAGGTCCACCGGAAGCCGTGAAAGTGACCGTATTTGGAGAAGAGATCTTTGCAGAGCTCATTATGCTGGGTAGGGTGGGCCCTGACCCCAGTGACCAGTGTCCTTGGAAGAGAAAGGGAGAGGATACACTGGAAGAAGGCAGGATGAAGACGGGGCAGAGCTGGAGGAGCATGGCCTCCAGCTGGGAAGTCCCCAAGCGGTCCCCAAGCCACCAGGAGCTGGGTTCAGCCCTGCTGACACCTTCACTTCCAACTTCTGCCTCCAGACCTACGGGAGAATACATTCCCGTTGCTTTAAGCCTCTGGTTTATGGAAATCAGATGCCCCAGGGAACTAGAGTGACTTCTGTGATCCAAATAGTGAAAGGCATTAGCACTGGGGCTGCCTCCTGGAGTCTGATGCCGCAGGCTTGGAGTGCTTTCCGACCCCGACCCCCTTCTCGCAGGGTGGACCCCCTTGCAGCCCACAGGCGCCACCCTGCCTCCTAGGTGCCTCTTGACTCGTGGGCGTGCCAGCCTCGCCTTGGGCTTGTCCCCTTCAGAAGGTGCGGGTGGGAACCTGACAACTGCAACAGGAGTGCTGCTCAGGTGTTGAGATCACAATTTGTTTTCAACAAGGAGGGCCTATTTTAAGTTGTTGTTGTTGTTGTTTTCTAGCAGTTTTAGGTTTACAGAAGAGGGAGCAGATGGTACAGGGAGTTCCCGCTCACCCCCCCTCCCCCCCCACACACACAGTGTCCCTGCGAGAACATCTCCCACTCTTGCAAAGGGAACCAGTATGGATACATTGTTACCGACGAAGTGCAGGCTTCATCAGGGCTCCTCTCAGCTGTGCAGCAGGACCTGTAGGTGTTAATGGTTGTCCTTTCACTGCTTTAAAATCCTCTCTGCCCCCTAGGTTCGTCCCTTCCTCCCACCAGCTCCCGAGACCTCTGAATTTGTACCGTCTCCGTAGTTTTGCTCTTTAATGATTTCATAGACTTGGTTGAATCCACAGCTTCAGGCCTTAAAGGTTCCTCCATGTGTTTTTTGCTCTTTAAGGTTTTAGATGTGATTTTGAGAGGAGTGGAACTAGGTGCTATACAGAGACTTGTAGAGAGCTGGGTTGTTTTTTTTTTTCCCTCTAAACTTTTGAATCGTGTAAACCTAATAAGTCCTGTAAGAATATGAGTGAAGATGATGTGTATTACATCCAGTACCACATTTGGAGACCCCCTGCCTTATGTTCATTTTCTGGTGGGGTCCAGCAGTGCTGTCAGGGGTGCCCTGTGTATAACATCAAGGGCTCCTCCCAGGTCCTTTCCTGCCAGTGACAGGGGTCCATGGCCAGCGTTTCCCCAAGTGCCCCTGTGGCCCCAGCTTGTAGCAGAGCTCCCAGGAGAAAGGTGTTTTTTTGTTTTTGTTTTTTGCCTCACCATGTGGCTTGTGGGATCTTATTAATAGTTTCCCACCAGGATTTGAAACTGCGTGCTTGATAGTGAAAGTGCCCCCAGAGAATTCCCTAGAAGAAAGTTTCTGATGTGGACTTTCTAAGAAGGGGCGGGGTGGGGTGAGTGCAGGTTGTAACTGAGGTTCGACCGAGAAGAAGGCTCTTGGTGTGAATCTGAGCCCTTGAGGCAGAGAGCAGCTGGCAGAGGTGGAGGACCCCGCCACAGGAGGGGCCGCAGGAGGCAGGAGAAAGGGACGATAGGAGTGAGCTCCGTTGTGCCTTCTCTGGCTCCTTCCTCCTCCCACTCCCAGTCTTATAAGAAGATGGGGAAATGGGCTTTTTGTGCAAACTCTTATCAGAAGGGCTAGGAGAGCAAGAACAAAAGCTTCTCTGTTTTGAGCAATGTTTGTTAAAAGCCCAGCAAGCGTTTCCTGAACTTTGCCCCCTTGCCAGCCAGTGTAGCAGGTTCAATGGAGCGCGTCTGGGAGTGGGTTAAACGACTGCTGAGGCTGTGATGGACCTTCAGGTGGACAGACAGAACCTCTGCACCCCCGGCCGGTAGGAGGCCACTGGAGCTGACAGCCGGCTGGACGGAGCGCCGGCACCCAGTTCCGTGGGAAGGCCGTCTGCACACGCGCCCTTCCTGGAGCTGCTGTGTGGAGCCTGCCGGCTGGGCGGGCATCTGAGGGTAAGAGAAGGCAGGGCCCCAGCCACGCTCGGCCCAGCCGCCGGTTCCCCTCAGAGGGACCATGGCCAGACGGCGGGGCCTCAGGCAGGCCTGGCCACCCCGGAGCTCCTCGCTAAGGGCGGTGTGGGCGAGCTCCCTGTCCACCGCGCTTGTTACCTGGTGAGGAAACAGCCAAGCGTTCTCAGGCACACTGTGATTTCCTTAAACTCATCCTGATCATAGTTTACTGTTGTTTCTTTGCTGGCGTTGCGAGGTGGGCTGGTGGCACCAGGGCTGCAGGGGCAGGGCTCTGAGCCCCTCTGTGCTCCTGCCAGGCCGCCCCATACAGCTGCTGCCTCCTGAAGGGCAAGCTTCACCAGCCCTCTCTGGAAAACATCCGGCTTGTGAGGCTTATTCAGGGCAGCCTGACTCCAGGGGGAGACCAGCCGCCCTGTCCTCCTGACCCCCTCAGCCCCCCTCAGACTTTGCCCGTGGTCCTCCGGGAGCCTCAGGGCCTTCTCTCCCGTGGGTTGCTCTGGGCCCTGGGGGCCGGTCCTGCTGTGGGAAGGAGCGTGGAAGGTAGGCGAGTGCTCCTGTCTCTTCTGAGTGCTGGGAATAGCGTCTGCCTCGTCTTCCTGCTGGCGGGGGAGGGGGGTGACTTCCATCCTGCCAGCTCCAGGAGGAGGCTCACTTGGGCTGCAGCTACAACCGCGAGGTCAGCAGGCCTGCGCACCAGGCCCACCCTGGCGCCGAGTGGGCCAGGGCTTCTGTGCACCCAGCTGCCCACGTGGACCGGCGCCCCGCTGCTCAGAGGAGCCTCTGCTGGGGGTGCTGGCCTCAAGTCACACTCTGTCCCTGCGGGAAGCCTGTGTCGCAGGTGTGTGGGCCCACCTGCTTCTGGTCAAGGGCAAGTGGGGGGAAGGCGGGCCCCGGGCAGCTGTCCCTCGGACCCGGGCAGGGGGGTCCAGCCTTGACACTGTGGTGCGTGCCTGCAGGCTCAGCCTGGAGCCAGCCACTCAGTGGTCCTGAGTGGGGGCCTCTTGAAGGGAGTCCCTGGTTTCAGTTTTGAAGTGAGCACTCTTTGTGGATTACATAGTCGCCTGGGACTTGGAGAAGTATGGGGTTTTCCTTGGAACAGGAGCGTCGAGGAAGGCCTGCAGTGGGGACCTCAGGCCTTCCCTGTCTCATGCTGCCCCACACCAGCTGGCACGCGGGCCCCCTTTCAGGCTGTCCCTCACCTGCCCGTGTGACGGCCATGTTCTGAGAGGTGGCGACCTCAGGAGAGCTGTGTCCAGCCCGTTCTCCCCTCGAGGCGGCGCCACTTGGACACTCACCAGCTACTCAGCTGGTGGGCTGGTCACACGACCGGTGGAAGGCAGACGGGGCGGGACCTGTTCTCCACTGGGCACAGGTGTGGGGGCAGCCATGCGGGGCCCTCTGCCCACCCGCCCCCACATCTCGTGGCAGAGCCCAAGGACAAAGTGCAGCCTCTCTAGCCTCTGAAATCTCACTCATTTGTCCATCGTTAACCAGCGTGAAAGCTTGGCTGCTTTGCTAACCAGGGCAGTTGCCCCTCAATTAAAGCTGAGGTTACGAAGCGAAGGCAACCTGTGTACTGGCTGTAAGTTCATTTGGACAGTCTGCAGATACCTACTTGGTGCTGGGTCCACAAGAGTGAAAACACAGGTGTGTTTAGTGCGGAAGTAGCCACTTAACCGGTGAATGTAGTTGATCCGACAGTTGATGAATTCAGATTTTGAGGTTAGACCACGTAATTGAGTTTCAGAGCAGTAGTCTGCACGTAGGTAGTAGTCATTTGGCGGGGCTTTTAAATTGAAAAAGGCGTGTCCTTAGACTGTTGGATGTCAGTACACGGGGTGGGTCATTCCAGTGCTGGGGGCCACAAAGGGCCGGCTCTCCCAGTGTGTACCCTGGGGCATTGGGCACTTGTGTCTGCTTGAGGCATGTTTACGTACACAACTAACTTTAAAACACACTGAAGTCTGCCGTGAGCCACTGTTTCTGCTTGGAAGTGCAGGAGGGGCATCTCCTCATGGACGCTCCCCACCATGGGCCCCTCCGCGGCCGGGACTGACTCTGGGCGTCTCTCCTAGGCCAACGAGGTGACGGACAGTGCGTACATGGGTTCCGAGAGCACCTACAGCGAGTGTGAGACCTTCACGGACGAGGACACGGGCACCCTGGTGCCACCCGAGTGCCTGGACGCTGCGGAGGAGCCTGGGCACGGTGCCCTGCTGCTGCTGCCCGGCAGGTGCGTTCCCATCCGCCCGCCCGGCCGCTGGCAGGGGTCATGGGCCCTCGGAGGGTCCTGGCAGAGCACGAGCCTGCAGAGTCCCCGGTCCGAGAGAGGCCGCGTGGGCTGCCCGTTGGGTGCTCACGCGTAGTCGTGGGGAGGGCATTCGCTTGGCACTCAGGGTTTTGTCGTCACGGGTCTTGGCTCTCGTGACGCAGCCAGAGGCATGCTCTTCGGGGCGCGTCTTCACCTGGTCCAGAGGCACCAGGCGGGTTATCCTTGTTATCAGCCGCACTGTGGGAATGTGTGCGGCTCCTTCGTTTCCCATCAGTGGACCCCGGGCTCCGGGCAGCTTACACTGTAGGTTTCCTGGATGAAGCTGCACATCAGCGTCATGTCTTTCTGTGCAGGCTTTGTCCTCACCGATTGGGGTGTGCCTGGGGCCCGGGCTTGGCTGTAGGGATTACTGTGGGTTGGATTGTCTCAGGCAGCGTTGGCTGGCTCCCTGCCAGCCTGCTGCCCGCGGACTCTGGCTGCTTCATCCTGGCAGCTCCTGGCATCATCTGCTTCTCCCTGCCCTGGCGCAGAGTGGGCGGTCCTCACCTGGGTCTCCCAGGAGCCTGACGGGCGTCGCCTTGCTGGCACGCTGCCCTGTGAAGACCCTCTCCCCTGCAGGCTGGTGCCCCTTTGTTGACAGCCAGGCTCTGCAAGCTGGTCCACAAGAGACAGGACAGTGAGCGCGTGCTTCTCCTCAGTTCCGGGTCAGCTGCCCTGTGCAGACGGGCATGGGTGGACCTGGCCTCCCAGGTCCTCCAGCCTCAGTGGTTGGAGCCCTTGCTGTGTCTCAGGGGTCCCCTCTGCCCCAGGCGTGCTGGAAGCATGTCCCCCCGCCACTCGCTTGGGGTACCTTTTAATTCTCTGGGGCGTCTGGCGTGTCTGTGGTTGGCCTGCCTGTGCTGTTTCAGTCTCTGCTCACTCCACATCACTGCAGCAATACTTGCACTTTTCTTTGAAAGCTTTATTGTTTTGCCACTGTTCTCAGCGCTGCATCTCCTGTGTGTGCTGTGAGGCAGGCGTCACATCTCCTATCCTCGGGAGACAGAGGCATCAGGATGTCCATTGGCTTAGGCTCGGTTTGAAGTTTCCTCTTTGCTCTCTGGCCCCGGAGGTGGCCGAGTGTGTGTGCTGTGCTGGCTGGCCCGCTTGGCCGTGTGTGCCCTGAGCGGGTCAGCACCCCGTGGTCCTGGTGTGTGCACCTCCAGCCCCCTCTCCAGGGCTGTGTCATCTCCTTCGGCCTTGGCGCATCCATGTGGATCCCAGACTCGGCTTGTTAGTCTCTGGGGAGGGCACCTGCTGGGCTGGGCGGGCATGTGCTGGGTCCACAGTTTATTTGACAGAACCAGCATCTTGAAGTATGGGCTTCCCATCCTTCAAACAATTTATTGCTGCATTTACTGGAGTCTTTCTTGGCTTGCTGTGGTGGGGGTGGCCATCTGCTGGGGGGCAGTCATGCGTGCACAGTGGGCCCTTGGCTCTGCTGGGGCCAGAGGGACAGCTGTGGGGGCCATGGGCCAAGCCCCATGCGTGAAGACGGAGCCTGTGCAACTCCCCAGGGGCTGGGGAGAGAGGGTTAGGATGCAGCATGTGGGGCTGGGGCACTGCCTTAGTGCAGCTTCCTAACCAGTGTTTGTAAGGTAATCAGGTAAGTTCGTTTAATTCCATTTGGGTCAAGTAATCAAAGCTGGAGAAGTGCTAAATCCAGGAAACCATTAGAGGTCTTTGATTTTCTCTGGAAGTTTCTGGCCTTGGGCTGTAACTTGCTGTCAGGATGCACTGACATCACGTGAGCCTCAGTGTGACACCCAAATCGGTGACAGGATGCCCATCTGGGTTGAGGTCACCTGTCTCCTGTCGTTGTGGTGCGTGCTGGGCTCACGGCCCGCCCCAGGCCCCCAGCACGAGGTGCATGTCCCCTCTGATGTGGGGACATGTGCCTGGCTGCTCGCTGCCCCGAGCACCCGGGTCCAATGCATGGTGGCCACGCGGGGTCCCTCTCGCCATGCGGGCAGCTTCCTATCCCAGGTCTGGGTGCGTGCACACTCAAGCAGCTAATCTGGAGAAACAGAAGCAGCTCTGTGTGATCAGGCAGCTGTTGGGAGGAACCCCTTCTTCTTGGCTTCGGTGGCCAGTGGGTGGCAGGAGGACTCAGGATGCTCTTCAGAGATGGCTGAGATCCTGAGCCCCCGGGCTGTGTCAAGGTGGAGCCCGAGCTGCGTGTGCGCGACTGTGGCTCTGGGCAGAGGACGGACAGCCTCCGTGACCCCCGGGCCCTCCGAGGGGCAGCTCCAGTGCCTGCTCACAGGTTCTGGGGTCGGGGGGCTGTGGTGAGGAGGGGGTCCGGTCCTGGCCAGGAGTGTCTGCTGGTAGCCAGGGTACAGTGAACCCCAGACTCCAGGGCATCTTGTGACTGGCGGACACAGACCATGAAGCTCCGGTTGTGGACGTGGTGGTATTGGGTTGGTTGGGCCAGGTGGAGTCTGTGGGCAAAGTCAGTCTCACCGGAGTTCACCTTTCTCAGCGTGACTGCGGGAACAGGCCCTCACACGTGTGGTCGCCGTGGGCCCCGACCAGAGGCTCGGGTCACATCCGCAGCTCTGGGGTGCTCGGTCCCGAGGCGGCAGCTGACTCTCCTTTGCCTCCGCAGGTCCCACCTACAGGGCCAGTCTGTGGTCGCGGTTATAGGTGGCGAGGAGCACTTCGAGGACTATGGCGAGGGCAGTGAGACGGAGCTGTCCCCGGAGACCCTCTGCGGTGGGGACCACGGCTGCAGGGACCCTGCCTTCCTCACCCCCAGGTAAAGGCTCCTGTTGGCAGGCTGGTCTCATTCTCTGTGATGTAGCTGAGCAATGCCCCTGAGTGTAGGGTTGCTGTTGGGGTGAATGTTGGCTGCAGCTCCTCTTGTCCCGTTGCGGTCCAGTCTCTCCCCGTTTGAGAGGCCTCGGCCGAGCGCCAGGCATACAGGCAGGGGACACTTGGCTGTGCGGGTTTCTCAGCGCTGCTTGTGAATTGAGTTGTGATTTTCAGTGAGCTTGAGGGAGGCTGTGTGTGTGTGTGTGTGTGATGTGTGTTCTGTGTGCGTGAGAGTGCATGTGTGGGTGGCATGTGTGTTGCCTGTTGTGTGTGTGTGTGATGTGTGTTCTCTATGTGATGTGAGTGGTATGTGTTGCCTGTCATGTGTGTGTCGCATGTGTGGTGTGTGATGTGTGTGGTGTGTGTGACCTGTGTGTCGAGTGTGTGGTGTGTGGCCTGTTCTGTGTGTGTCGCGTGTGTTCTGTCACATGTTCTCTGTGATGTGTGGTGCGGCCTGTCCTGTGTGTTTCGCGTGTGTTGTGTGTGTCGCATGTGTGTGGTGTGTGACATGTTCTGTGTGTCGCATGTGTGTGCTGTGTGGCCTGTTCTGTGTGTGGCCTATCCTGCGTGTGTCACGTGTGGTGTGTGTGACATGTTATGTGTGTCGCATGTGTGGTGTGTGTGACGTGTTATCTGTTCTATGTCATGCGTGTTCTGTGTCACGTGTGTTCTCTGTGTGGTGTGTGACCTGTTCTGTGTCATGTGTGGTGTGTGTGTGTGTCGTGTGTGGTGTGTGTGTGTGTCGTGTGTGGTGTGCGTGTGTGGCCTATCCTGTGTGTGTCACGTGTGTGGTGTGTGTGACGTGTGGTGTGTGTGTGGCCTGTCCTATGTGAGTGGGTGCTGGCGTCCTGCTCAGCTCTCCTCTCACCGTGCTGATGGGCCTCCCCCTACACGTCCCTTCGTGTTCTGTACACACCGAAGGCTTGTGGAAACCCTGCCACACTTTCCCAAGGGCAGTGCTTACATCGGTCTCTGTGTCACATTTGGGAAATTCTCAGCATTCCAAACCTTTGGTATGATTATGATTATGGTTGGAGTCTGGGATCGGCAACCTATGACGTGACTGTTGTCAACCGATTGGATCTCCCTAAAGGCTCAGGTGATGGTGAGCATTTTTTAGCAATAAAGTATTTTTCAGTTAAGGTATGCACATTGTACATTTTTTTGGCTGCACCACACGGCATTTGGAATCTTAGTTCCCCGACCAGGGATTAAACCTGTGGCCCTGCAGTGGGAGCTGGGAGTCCAGGAAGTCCCTGCATTTTTTTTAGACATGATGCTTTAGACTACAGTGTAGTCACTTTTACTTGCACTGAAAACAAACAGAAACAGAAACTTCCAGTGACTCCTTTTCCTGCGACTGGCCACAGATGAGGCTGCAGTAGCTCTGAGGCCTGCCTGCCTGCTTGGAGTTTTCTGTTTCTCCGTGTTTTCCCGCATGTCCTCAGACCGTGTTCCTCTTGTAGCTGGGTGCTTGTGTCCTTTGACCAGCCTCTGAGAGCGGCGTCTGCATCACAGACGGCTGTTGGGATTCATTTCCTATAATGACCTGGCATCCCCAAACTGGAAGGTTCGGCCTTGAATACACCGGGCTGTGGCATTTGGTGGGCCAGCCCTGGGCTCATGGGCAGGCTCCTCCGAGCTCTGCTTCCTCTCTGGGCGGCAGGAGGCCGTGGAGGAAGCGCCCACCCTGGCGTCCAGGCCAGGGATGTGCCCACCCCCGTCAGCCCCCTGTCCCCCTGCTCCTGGTTCTGGGGATTCTCCGCCCGTGCCCACAGTGGAGGTGGTGGACTTGGGTGTGCCGAGAGGGGTGCGCTCCGCTGGCGTTGCCCGAGGCCCTGCAGCGCATGTGCCTCCACTGGTTCCATGTGCGCCTCGTCCTCGGCTTCGTCTGCAGGGTGACATCTGTGCTTCAGTTGATGTCTGCCTTTTGCTTTCCAGTAGTCTGGGGTCCTCGTGTCTGCAAGCCGTGGCCGCACTTCCCATTGCCCTGAAGGCTCCTGTACCTAGTTCGTGGGGGCAGTTAACGATTCTGAGTTTTAGGGGACGTCCTCCCCGCAGCCCCAGCTGCCATGCTCCCTAGATGGTCACTGCCGTGGCCACAGGGCAGGAAGCAAGGCGCTGGCCGCGTGTCCCGCTCTCACACGGACAGGTTTCGGGCGGAGGACGCGGGTGTCGCGACGTTTGCTTCTTGGCGAAGCTGCCAGGCTCGCCCGTGTCCTGAGCGCCTGACCAGGAAGGCTCTGGCCCCCACACAGGGAGCATCGCGGTCCCAGAGGTGGGGCGAGGGCCTCTGTGCCGGCGCAGAGGCCTCCTGCCGGCTCCCCACCCAGCCCCGGCCCAGCCCCTCCTGAAGATGCACCTCTCGCCCCTCTAGCACCGACCCACTCAGCACCAAGCTGCACAGCATCCTCACTGACGAGGCCTTTGAGTTTTACTGCAGCCAGTGCCACAGGCAGATCAACCGCCTGGAGGACCTCTCTGCTCGCCTGAACGACCTTGAGAAGAATAGGTAACCCACGGTGCCTGGCCTGCCATCTGTCCCGGGCGCGGGAGACCCCGCCGGCCTGCAGCGCCCACTGCCCTGGCCAGGTGCTGCCTGAGTGCCGGGGGCTCCCTCCAGCGGGCCTGCAGGCCGCGGCCTCGCCCTCGCCCGGCCCTGCATGCGCTCGCCCGGCCTGTTGCCCCACGTGCATGCCACCACCCAGTCCCCTGCCCTGCCCTGCCTGCGGACTGCCAGCGCATGGAGGAGAGCCTGCTCTTAGGAGGACGTGCTCTTTGCATTTCACCAAAAGACATTTTCAGTGGAGGCACAGCAGCAGCATCAGGAAACCTGAAAGGTGCAGACGTGGGAGCAGCTCTCAGGGTCGGCACTCTGCTGGGCACCCTGGGGGCTCTGCCGCCCATGTACATGTGCTGCTCCTCGCCGTCCCCCTCCTCATCCGACCCCCTCTCTGCCTGACGCCGCCCACCCCCAAGTCGGAGTCCCGGGGGCAGCCCCTGGCTCCTCATGGCCTCCAGTTGCAGGCAATAGCTTGGGCAGTTGGCGTGCATCAACGTGTCCGTTAGGCAGGCTGACGCTCTAGTTTGTTGTGTGGAGCAACGAGCCCTCATGCCGCACACCCCACAGCCTCACCCCGCAGAGGAGGTGCGGGACCACCCGGCTCTATTGTGCTGCGAACTTCCAGGGGACTTCCTGGAGGAGGGGGCCTTGACTGGCGGGAGTTATGTGGAATGTGAACCATCCTGATGGTGCCATGTGTCCATGTCCCCTGGGCCTGCTGTCGGCCCCTCAGCTGGCCTGGTGGACCCTCGACAACAGCCTTTCGTACGCATCCTCCTGCCACACTCAGCTGCATCCAGCCAGAGCCCAGTCAAGTAAGGGACGGGGCTGATGGGCAGCTTCGCAGGGAGCCTGGGCCCCGGCAGCACTGAGGAGGAACTGGAGGTGCCCAGTGAGGGGCTTCAGGGGACAAGGGGGCTCGGAGACCCGCCGGCCCCCCTACCCCTCGTGTTCAGCCCAATGCTCCATGCACGCCTTTGGCAGGCCCCCCACCAGGCTGGGGAGGTCATTTGTACTTCCCAAGCGGGGCCCTGCCGTCTCTGTGTTTGAGAGTGAACTTGAGGACACACGTGCATCTTAGTTCTCCCGTTCTGAAGTCTCTTGACGTGGAGGTGCTCTTTTCCATGTTGAGGGCCTGCTGCAGGGCGGCCACAGTCGCTTCTGTGAGGCTTTGTGGGGCAAAGAATAGACCGGGGCGTGGCTGCATCCAGCCAGCAAAACTAGGGGGTCTCACGTCCATTTCAGCCACCTGTTCCCTAAGAAAGGCGCTAACGAGAAGGTTAACATGCCATCAAAGCCTTCATTACGGTCAGGACACAGCTGTCAGGTGGGAAGTTCCCCTCTTACCTGCTTCAGGAGAGGCTTGCCCTCGGCGTCCATGGAACTGTCTCAGGGTGCGTGGATCTAGTGTGTGGTTGTGAAAGGTGACTCAGTCCAGTGTCCAACAGGTTTGACATCAGGCGTGATTTCTACCTCCCGACCCTCAGAACACACGTACTTGGCATGTTCCTGGTGCCTCCGTGAAATACTTCATTGCGTGACAATGGGGAGTCGGCTTTACCCAGAGGTGTAGGTGCTGTGGGCCCAGTGGGGAGGAGTCAGCTGGACCGCTGTCTCTCCTGAGCTGACACTTCGTCAGTCAGGAGAGGGGACACGTAGTGAGCTGAATGGGAAGTATGATAGAGAGTGACCAGTTCCCATGGGGCCAGGGGTTGGCAGGGAGGAGAAGAGGGCAGAGAGGAGAGCCACTCAGCCCGTGCCCACACCTTGCAGACTCGCTGGACATCTCTGTCAGGGCCTGAGTTTCACCGCATCACGTTTCATGCAGCTGGGCCCCGGGAAGCAGGCCCCATCTTGGGTCCCTGTGCTGCCGCAGTGCCAGAAGCCTGGGCCGGGGCCACGTCCCTCCCCAGCCCCACACTGTTCTCTGAGAGGTGGCTGGTGCCTCCTGAGGGCCTGGCGATGGTTTAGCAGGTAAACTGGGAAGTGGAACCCAGGACATCAGAGGCGAGAGGTGCGGTCAGCTGGCCCTTCTGCCACTGCAGACGGTCCCGTGAGGCAGGCGCCCTAGAGCTGGCATGCCTGCCCTGGATGGTGCAGGAATGCTGTCTGGGTTTCCGGGCGGCCGGGGCTGAGGGTACACAGTGCCTGCGCTGGAGCAAAACCAACGGCAGACCCTCCTGTGCACGTGGGCCTCTAGCAGCCGGGCCTCAGGAGCGCAGCGCGGCCTCGCAGCACTGCGGATGTGCCACTGGCTGATGGCTCAGACCCTGTGTGGCCCCCTCTGGGTCCTGCCCTAACGGTCCGGCAGTGACTCCATCTTAGACTTTTGTGCCGGCTAGGACCACGTGACGCACGGGGGCCTCGCGGGGCCCTGAGGTTGTCCTGGTGTCCCTGAGTTTCTGCTGAGCCAGCCTTTCCTGCATGGCGCGGCGGGGGCGCGGGTGTGCATGCCTGTGACGCCCCCACCCCGTCTCCCTCGCTGGCACTTCCTGCTTCCTCTTGTCCTCCCTGTCTGGCCTCTGACTCCACTTTCCTGTTTGTTTCCATTTTGCAGTCCAACGAAGCGGCTGTCCAGCAAGAAGGTGGCAAGGTAGGACCCTTTCTGAAACGCATCCCTGCTCATGGTGCTTTTGCAAGAAAACTTTTGAAAGTCACTTCTCATTGTTTGGGATTGAAAATGACTTGAAGGGTGAGCTGTAAAAAGACTTGCTCCAGTGGCAGACGGGGACCCGGGTATGTGGCAGGGGGTCTGTGGTGGGAGCCCTTGCCTCCCTCCAGTTGGGTTGAGTCTTTCCCACCAGAGGGCTGGGCAGGGTCGGGGGGCCCCCAATGCCACAGCCCAGGTCTGGGTCCGCCTCCTTCAAGGGCTGCACCCCTCCAGCCCCGCCGTCTCCCCCCGGTGAGGAGGTGGACGAATTTGTGAACAACGTGCATCGGGACTGTCCCTTCCCTCTTCAGTTACTGAGCTGCCCCTGGCCCCCTTCACTGAGGGCTGAGGGCGTGTGGACTCTCCCCTCCCGCCAGGCGTGTCCAAGGCCAGCGTTCTCCACGGGGAAGCTTGCGATGTGTTTACTGGATTTCCTTTCTGAGAAGCGTTGTTGCTTCTCCCGGAGACAGTGATTGCCTTGATGTTTTTGTTTGTGTCGTCTCCTGCCTGGACGGCCCCCGGAGCCCTGGCCCTGCGCGCCTGTGCCATGCGGGCCGTGTGTCTCTCAGGTGTCAGCTTGTCTCGCCCCTGGGCCCTTCTTCCCTTTTTAATCTCCGTTTTCTGTCCAGCACGTCTTCCTGTAGCTTCTTGAGAAGAGGGGTGCCCAGAAAATAGACGGTTGTGCCCTCGCCGGGTGCCTCGCCCCTGTGATCTGGCTTGGTGCAGACTTCCACATCAGAAGTGGCTTCCCTTTCGCAGCTTGGAAGGCACTACTCTTGAGGCACTAGCCCCAGCACTGCTGCTGGGGGTCCAGGCCAGCACTCTCTGGATCTCTTGGTGACCACGTCTCCCTTCTGGGAGCTCCTAGGAGCGCTCCCCTTCCCTGACGCTCAGGCCTCTTCAGGGAGCCTTTGCGCCCTTTTCCTGGTTAATTTTGCTGGCGGAGTGGAAGGCCTGGCTCTAGTCTAGAGGCTTCTGCCTGACTGCCGGCCTCTCTGGGCGCTGGTCTGCAGTGTCCTCCACGCCCTGCCCCCCGCCCCCCGCAGCGCCTGCTGGCGGCCTCTGCCCAGCGCAACCGCGTGCCCCCCTCTGAGCGCTGCCTCCTACTGGAGGCCTCCGGCTGACAGCCAGCAGGGCCCCTGGCCCATGTGTGCTGGGGACAGTGCGCCTCTGTCAGCCGGCCTGGCGCATGGCCTTCAGGCAGCTCAAGGTTGGGTGCAGCCCATTGGGGGCCCCAGTCCCCAGTCGTGTGCCTGCTCGGGGCCGCCCCCCTCCCTACTGAGCTCCTCTCTGTGGCCCCTCGGGTGCTGGCCGCCGGGCCTCTCCTCCAGCATGTGGTCCCTGAACATCCTGTCTTTGGTGCCACCTGCTTTCCCACCGTCCGTCCCTGAGGCCGTGAATTGCTTGTTTTCCTTTTCCTATGACCCTGAGGGCTGAGGGCCCAGAGGGGTGGAGGCCACCCCGCAGGCCCACACCCCTCTCTTGTCCTCTCCATCCCCTGGGTCTCAGTGGTCCTCCTGGCTCCTGACCAGGCTCTGACCAGAGTTGTGGCCTTACTGCCATGCCCGTCCCACCTTTCACCCAAACACCTGCAGCTGGCAGGACGTGCTGCCCGAGTCCCGTCCTCCCAGCCCGGAGTCAGGCCCAGGAGGCCTGGGCCCTGGGCCGCGGCCCTGAGGCTGGCCTGTGGCTGCTGCTCTGAGAATCTGACCCTCCCTCATGGGTGCCCTTGTGGGAGAAAGCCTGGCCTGCAGGTGTGTGTAGTGTGTCGTGCACACGCACACACACACACACGTGTGCAATTTTAGTCTGCTGCCACCATAACTGTCCCTGGCCTCCTGAGGAAGCTCAGCGTGCCTGCTGTCACTTCTCTCTACCTGGCTGTGGTCCCCGCGTGCAGGCGGCTCTGCGACTGGGCACCAGCGACCCTGCAGAGCGACAGCAGCTCTGGGGTCTGGTTGTGACTAGGTCTCGACTTGACCTGCCTCCTTTTGGTGGATCGGGCACGGGTTCCCTTCTCCTGCTGGGCCTCCTCAGTGAGGACGGGCTTAAATAAAGAAGCTCCCATCCCCACGTGAGGACCCTTGACCTTACTGAGATGGCTCCACGCTCAGCCACACACCCCCAAGCCGGAGTCAGCCCCTGGTCTGAGGTCAGGGTCGGGTGTTGGCCCCAGGCATGGCCCCTTCTCGGGACGGTCTCTGGGCCAGGAGCTCATGTTCGGGTCCCGCTGTGGACGCGGACATGGAGCGGCTCAGTGGGAGCTGATGCTGTCCTCCCGGCCCTGCGGGGTCAGTGAAGTCCACAGCCCGGCGCCAATACGTCCCCCAGGGCACCGTCAGGCTTGAGGCCCCTGGGCACAAAGATGCCCTTCTTTGTTCCCCTGAGAATGTTTCTGGAAAGATAAAAAGAATGTAGAAGCTCAGTCAGTACGGAAAAGGAGATAGAGCTTCCTTCATACGTTTGGTAGAGCGCTCGTTTTAACAGCGTTTTACTGAACTGGCTCTCCGTGCTCTGTCCTTAGCTGCGTGACCGCCTGCGGGAGCCCGTGCCCTAGCACAGTGGGGGTGCCCGGCCTCCTCGGGGTCACACCACGCTGAGTCTCTTGTGCATCACAGCCGCGGGCCTGTTCGGCCACTGGAGCCCCGCACCTGGGCCCTGTGGCTGCCCCCGGTGGCGCACCTGCAAATCAGAGACAGAGAGGGAGCCAAAGTCCTGGTGCCCCCAGACCCTGACCCTGAGCACAGTCCACCGGCTCAGGGGACGTGAGATTATTTCATATTGCCGAGAGGGGTGACATCCTGTTTTATTGCCCAAGTACAAAGTACCCGGCCCAGGAGCTGGCAGAGGAGGAGGCCGGGCCTGTGAGGCCCTTGCTTGCCCGGCCCTTGGTTGCAGCGTCCTGCCGGAAGGCCCTCCGGTGGAGCCCTGCCTGCTGCCCCAGAGCTCTGCCTCTGCACGGTCCCGGGCTTGCTCACGCGCACAGGCCTGGCCCCGTGGTCGCTCCCCTTCTCTACTCTCCTCACCCTGCTGAAGGACCTCTGGACGGGCCTGTCATCTCTCCTCCACAGGCATCTGCAGCAGTCAGGGGCCCTGACCATGGACGCCCTGCAGGACCCTCCCCCAGGCCCCGTGGAGGGCGTGGACGAGGACATTGCCGACAAGGTGGGCCCTGGACCGGTGGCAAGGCCGGTGGGTGTGGTGGGCGAGGTGTGCAGAGTGTGGTGGGAGGTGGGGCTGGCACCGTGGGGGCTGAGCAGACCCCAGCAGCCCTGCTGGTCTCTGGTGGGCACCGTCAGGGTCGGCAGCCTCGGGTGAACAGGAAACAGACACCTGTTCATGGAGAGGTGCTGGGTGGGCCACAGCGATCCCGGAGCCAGGGCCCCAAGCCAGGCCGTGGGTGGAATCCACTGCTCCAGAGAGGTTCCTCAGGGAGGTGCCGCCTCCCTGTGGCCGAGGTCATGAGGCTCAGGGCTCCGGGACATGCAGGGGCCGGGTAACGGCACAGCCCTGCCTCCTCTCCACCTCCCCGTCCACCCTCCTCCCCCCACCTCCCCGTATGCCCTCTTCCCCGTCCACCCCCTCCCCCCCCATCCGCCCTCCTCCCTGTCTGCCCTCCTCCCCGTCCACCCTCTTCCCCCCACCTCCCCGTCCACCCTCTTCCCCCCACCTCCCCGTCCACCCTCTTCCCCCCACCTCCCCGTCCACCCTCTTCCCCCCACCTCCCCGTCCACCCTCTTCCCCCCACCTCCCCGTCCACCCTCCTCCCCGTCCACCTGCCTCCCTGTCCAACTGCCTCCCTGTCCGCCCTCTTCCCCGTCCACCCTCCTCCCCATCTGCCAGCCTCTCCCTCCACCCTCCTGCTCCCCATCCACCCTCCCCCCCCCCCCTCCCTGTCCACTTCTCTTGGACCTGCTCTCTGCAGCGTCTCAGCTCTGCCGAGCCCTCCCCACTCTCCAGTTTGGTGGCCTGGTCATCACACCTCTCACCACCTGTTGAGTGTGCCGGGCTCCCTGAGGCGGGTGGGGCCGACCCTGGCCCTTCTGTGCACTCACTGCCCCTGCAGAGCAGTGCCTGGCCGCCCTTGAGGCCCGAGGGTGCAGTGTGCACCCTGCCCTCACTGGTGCTCCCGGCTCTCCAGCCTGGGGGTGTGGCCTCCAGGACCATCTGCTTGGGGCACGCACTCTCCCAGCCCCTTGTTCTCAAGCCACCATCTCACTCCCCAGGTTGTCTTCCTGGAGAAGCGGGTGTCAGAACTGGAAAAGGACACAGCTGCCAACGGGGAGCAGCACAGCCGGCTGCGGCAGGAGAACCTCCAGCTGGTGCACAGGTGAGGGCAGGGACACAGGTGAGCACAGGGCTCACAGGTGAGGGCAGGCACATAGGTGAGGGCAGGGTGCATAGGTGAGGGCAGGGCACACAGGTGAGCACAGGGCGCACAGGTGAGGGCAGGGCGCACAGGGCAGGGCAGGCACATGCACAGGCACACAGGTGAGGGCATGGACACAGGTGAACACAGGGCACACAGGTGAGGGCAGGGACACAGGTGAGGGCACGGATACAGGTGAGCACAGGGCACACAGGTGAGCACAGGGCACACAGATGAGGGCAGGGTGCATAGGTGAGGGCAGGGTGCATAGGTGAGGGCAGGGACACAGGTGAGCGCAGGGCACACAGGTGAGGGCAGGGACACAGGTGAGGGCACGGACACAGGTGAGGGCAGGCACACAGGTGAGGGCAGGGCACACAGGTGAGGGCAGGGACACAGGTGAGGGCAGGCACACAGGTGAGGGCAGGCACACAGGTGAGGGCAGGGCGCATAGGTGAGGGCAGGGACACAGGTGAGGGCAGGGACACAGGTGAGGGCAGGCCGCACAGGTGAGGGCAGGGCGCACGGGTGAGGGCAGGCGCACAGGTGAGGGCAGGCACACAGGTGAGGGCAGGGCACACAGGTGAGGGCAGGTGCACAGGTGAGGGCAGGCACACAGGTGAGGGCACGGCGCATAGGTGAGGGCAGGGACACAGGTGAGGGCAGGCGCACAGGTGAGGGCAGGGACACAGGTGAGGGCAGGGTGCATGCGTGAGGGCAGGGACACAGGTGAGGGCACGGCGCATAGGTGAGGGCAGGGACACAGGTGAGGGCAGGTGCACAGGTGAGGGCAGGCGCACAGGTGAGGGCAGGGACACAGGTGAGGGCAGGGTGCATGCGTGAGGGCAGGGACACAGGTGAGGGCAGGCACACAGGTGAGGGCAGGGCGCACGGGTGAGCGCAGGGCGCACGGGTGAGGGCAGGCGCACAGGTGAGGGCAGGGCACACAGGTGAGGGCAGGGCACACAGGTGAGGGCAGGTGCACAGGTGAGGGCAGGCACACAGGTGGGGGCAGGGAACACAGGTAAGGGCAGGCCGCACAGGTGAGGGCAGGGCACACAGGTGAGGGCACGGTGCATAGGTGAGGGCAGGGACACAGGTGAGGGCAGGCGCACAGGTGAGGGCAGGCGCACAGGTGAGGGCAGGGCACACAGGTGAGCGCAGGGCACACAGGTGAGGGCAGGGACACAGGTGAGGGCAGGCACACAGGTGAGGGCAGGGCACACAGGTGAGGGCAGGGACACAGGTGAGGGCAGGCACACAGGTGAGGGCAGGGCGCACAGGTGAGGGCAGGGCGCACAGGTGAGGGCAGGGACACAGGTGAGGGCAGGGCGCACAGGTGAGGGCAGGGCGCACAGGTGAGGGCAGGGACACAGGTGAGGGCAGGCACACAGGTGAGGGCAGGCACACAGGTGAGGGCAGGGCGCACAGGTGAGCGCAGGGCGCACGGGTGAGGGCAGGCGCACAGGTGAGGGCAGGCGCACAGGTGAGGGCAGGGCACACAGGTGAGGGCAGGCGCACAGGTGAGGGCAGGCGCACAGGTGAGGGCAGGGAACACAGGTAAGGGCAGGCCGCACAGGTGAGGCCAGGGAACACAGGTAAGGGCAGGCCGCACAGGTGAGGGCAGGGCGCATAGGTGAGGGCAGGGACACAGGTGAGGGCAGGGCGCACGGGTGAGCGCAGGGCACACAGGTGAGGGCAGGGACACAGGTCAGCACAGGGCGCACAACAAGTGAGCAGAGAGCACACAGGTGAGGGCACGGACACAGGTGAGCACAGGGTGCAGATCTCTTGCAGCCTACAAGGTGTGATCCACCCTCTGGTTGTTCTCCCCTTAGGTTCTGTAGGCGCTGCCCCACATCCAGCTGCTCCGGGCCATCTCTCTGGGTGCTGGTGGGGTGAGCAAGGCTCTCCCCGAGGAAAGGGCAAGGGAGGGCCCCTCAAGAGCAGCCAGGGCCACACTGTGTCCTTGGAGCATCTAGCTGAGCTTCCCATCTGGGGGTGTCTGGCATGTGCCCCCATTCCAAGAACCTGTCCTGATGCAGGATTGCATCATGTCTGAGTCCCCCTGGACTAGGAGACCAAGACTCGGGGGCTCAGAGACAGTGCTGGGCCCTGGGTGGGGGCGGCCAGACAGCTCTCTCAGATGACGGGTGGGCCTTCTGGCCTGACGGGCGTTTATCAGTCACCCACACGCTGGTGAAAAGCCCAACCTGCCCTGCCCTGCCCGCCAGCCCCAGGCTGTCCATGCCTGGCTGCTGGGCCGCTCCTCCTGGTTTTGCCTGAGTCCCCTCGGCCCGCGTGCCTGGGGCTGCTTGCGGTTCCCAGCCTGCAACCCCCATGGCCTTTTTTCCTGCATGTGACAAGTTCCACCTGCGTCCCCCACATCTGGTTTCTTATCCTCCAGATTCCACGTCTTCACCCACTTGGTTTCTAAACAGAGGCCCTGCTCAAGGCACAGGAGCCCAGCTCCCTAAGGCCTCACGGGTCTGAAAAAGGCTTTGTGCCCCGGCGCCCCCCACCACCGACAAGTGGCTGAGTCTGGGATTCCGCTGGGAGCCACCCCGGGCAGCCTGCTCCTCTGCGGTCTGTCCGTCTCTTAGCAGGGCCTGGCACCGCTGGGCTCACGGCTCTATGGGTCCCGCTCCCTCCCCAGGTGCTGGGAGGGTGCTGCTGAGCCAGGGGCAGGAGGTCCTAGCCCTTAAATCTGGAAGGCGGCTCCCTCGGCTTCAGGAAGATCGTTCCTAGGACTGTTCCTCTGTGTAGTTTCTCCCGTTTTCTCTCTAATTCAGTAGTCAGTCTGCACTTCTGTTAGTCAGGTATTAGACCTTCTGGACTGTTCTTTCCTTTACTTTCCTATTCTCTGACTTTCTCCTTCTTTCTTGCTATGTGATGATTCTTAGTTTTTTTCTTTCAGTTCCTCTTGAATTCAGAATTTTCTTGTGTTGGAGTTTTAATTGCTAAGAGCTACCTCTGTTGTACGTCGCTCCTGTGACAGCTGCTGTCCCGTGGATGTGGCGTCTCTGGCCTCTGAGGCTGACAGTTGCAGCGTCTCCCGCAAGATGTGTGTCTCCTTCGGGTCGTTCTTCCTGTTTGCTCTGGACATTTTGTGTTAGAGCTTTCCTGTGGTGTGTGGTGGTCTTCGACCTACTGTGTACTCTGAGGTGCAGGCACCAAAAAGCAGATGAGAAGCCCCGTGTGCAGGGCAGCTGGGGGCACGCCAGCCCTGCCGTCCTGGGAGGCCTCCTGCAAGTAGGCGTGGTGGTCTGGGAAGATACCAGGGCCGGGGTCTCCATGCGGACATTCCATCTGTCCCCGAGTTCTTGCAACACCTGCCTTTACATCTGACCTTGTGGGGGGCAGTGTGTAAACCACGTCCCCAGTCTGGAGTAGCAGGTCGAGGCGCCCGGGGCCAGGCACCTCTCAGGCTTGTCCCGAGACGGTCTCCCACTCACACCCAGCAAGCTGACGGCCACTGCGGGTGCAGGCCGGGGTGGGGGTGAGGTCCCCCGAGAACAATGGGGACTGTCCCTGCTGTCAGGACTGTGCCGGGGTCTGAAGCCCAGGCACCCTCAGTGCGGGGTGGAGGCTCCTTTGGGGGACGCGTCTCCTGCTTCAGAACCGCCCTTGACGGTAGCTGTGGCCGTGGGGCCTCCTCAGTGCCTGCCCGTCCCTCTTCTGGGCAGGGCCACTCTCCAGGTCCGGGCACAGCGTCTCAGGACAGTCTCTCCCCCTCTGCCGGCAGAGCCAACGCCTTGGAGGAACAGCTCAAGGAGCAGGAGCTGAGAGCCTGCGAGATGGTCCTGGAGGAGACCCGCAAGCAGAAGGAGCTCCTGTGCAAGATGGAGCGGGAGAAGAGCATCGAGATCGAGAACCTGCAGGCCAGGTGGGGGAGAGGGGAAGATGGGGATGGGGCGGAGGGGGGCAGAAGGGGGCAATGGAGGATGGGGGAGGGGGAGGTGGGGGCAGATGGGGCAGGGGAGGGGGACTGGGGGAGGAGGGGGGAGATGGAGCGGGGTAGGGGGATGGGGGGGCAGAAGGGGGTGGGCAGGTCGGGGAGGGGAGATGGGGACCAGCGGGATCGGCGGACAGGGACAAGGACGAGAGACAGCTGCGCTGTCAGCACACAGCCCTCCACCCCAGGGCACGACGCCTAGGAACAAAGTTAACCGTAGGAACAGTGGGAAAAACCTTTGTAAAGAAAACTGGAAGACTGTACTGAAGGCCACGATTATTGGGATCAAAGACAGACACCACCTGGATGTCACCTTCTCTAATCTTTCTCGTGAGGACATTACACCAACCAAATCAAAGTCACCATCTTTCTTTAAGGCAACTTGCGAACATTACCCTGGGCTCCCCTGAAGGCACGCGCCTTAAACAGTCAGGAAAGGGGAGCAGGCTCCACGCACATGCCCACAAAGGCGCAGGCGGGGACCAGGAACTTGGTCTGTGGTGTCCACGCACGGTGACACATTCATCTCAAAATTGGCAGAGAACCTAAATGCCCACAGGGTGCCGGTCAGCTGTGGGGTCCCTGACAAGGGTTCCCGCCGTCCTCCTGCAGTCACTGTCTTTGTGACTGAATGGCCCCACCCTCGGCCTTCAGCAGGCATCAGTGATTCATGACTCCAGGCCCTTAAGCATGTGTTTCTGTCTGGCTCTTATAGCTGGAAAATACATTTGGACACATTTTCACAGTGGCGGGCAGCAGGAGGGGCTGCACGCAGAGCTGTGCTGGGGTCTCCCTGGACAGAGACCTCCTGGGGGCAGACCTGCGGCGCCAGCACCCAGGACAACCTTCTTGCTGGACCTCAGCACAGTGGGGTCAGCGGACTTCGGGAGAGCCTCTCCATGGGGCCCTGTGCACTGGCCTGTGGGTGCCATTGGTGGGCCATCCTGCTGGCTGAACAGGCAGCAGCTGGGGCCGAAGGTGGATGGGGCCTCAAGAGGCCCTCAGGGAGCGAGACGGCATTCGGGTCACCGCCTACCCTGTGCACTTCCGTCAGCAGCCCTGGGGGTTCAGGGACCTGAGGGAACCAGGGCTCCTGGGAGAAGAGCGGGTATGTGACTGGGCCAGAGGAAAACCAGCAGAAGTGGGGAGGTAGTGGAGCACAGTCAGGCGGCACATCACGGGCTCCGGGTGGGCAGAGCTGGGACACAGCGGGAGCCTCTGCCAGAGCCTGGGCCAATGAGGAACCCGAGCAACACGTGGAGAAGCCCCCTTGGGGGTCCCTGGAGCCTGGACGGGGCCTATGACTAGAAGACAGAGGACAGACGGGAAAAGCAGAACCTGACCAAGGAGACACCTGGCAGACAGACCACCCAGTGGTCCAGGTCAACGTCACATGGGGTGCGAAGGGCACCCCCCTCTGTGGGGCTCTCCCCAGGCCCACAGCCTGTCCAGTCACCGGAGGACCCCAGACGAGCCCAGCCTGAGGGGCACCCACCAAACACAGGGCCAGGCCTGCTCAGAATGTCAAGGTCACGAAGAGCAGGCAAGCCCAGAGATGCTGCAGCCCCGAGGGGACAGAGGAGTCGTGATGGTGTCGTGGTGTGGGGTCCCAATGGGAAGGGGCGTCAGGGGAGGCTGGGTCGAGGCCGTGGCTTGGTCACCCATGTTTACAGTGTGAGTGTGACAGATGCCACGAGAACGAGCAGACGTCTCGAGAAGCCGCCAGGGGCTCGGGGTCCAGGGACCCGCTCTGTGGCAACAGCTTTTCTGTAAATGTGACGCTTGCCCACACCTGAGGTGTGGACGCCGTCCTGGCTTGTGAGGAGCTCTGGCCCCTGTGTGGGCATGTGTGGTGGTCGCGGACAGCTCCACGGGTCCCAACCTAGTCCTTGTGCCCCAGGCTGCAGCAGCTGGACGAGGAGAACAGCGAGCTGAGGTCCTGCACGCCCTGCCTGAAGGCCAACATCGAGCGTCTGGAGGAGGTGAGCTGCCCCCCGGCTCCCCGCGCTCCTCCCGGGGTACCTGTGGGCCACCAGGACCTGAGACAGGGTCTCCAAGGTGAGGGAGCCGCACGGTTGGCAGTGACATGGGGCCCCTGGGCTGAGGGAGCCAGGACAGGCGGGGCCTGGCCCTCCCTTTGCCAAAAGGTGCATGGCCCTGCCTGGCTTCTCGGGGTCCTTGGGCCTGGAAAGTTACACTTAGATGAACCCCTGATTTGATCCAGGATGCTGTCCTTGAGGGGCTGACTGCAGCTGGGTTGCTGTGCACCCTGAGGACACCTGGGAGCACTTGGGTTCAGCCCCTGCTCCTTTGTGGGTCCCACCTCCCCCCTCAGAAACAGTACCTGGGGCTGGGGGCGCTGTGAGGGACTGCGGCATGCGGGCGTGTCCATGGCTGCCTTCTTTCTTACAGGAGAAGCAGAAGCTGCTGGATGAGATTGAGGAGCTGTCCGTGCGGCTCAGCAATGAGCAGGAGAACAGGCGGAAGTTGGGGGACCGGCTGAGCCACGAGAGGCACCAGTTCCAGAGGGACAAGGAGGCCACCCAGGAGGTGAGCAGGGGCTGCCCCCATGGGTGCTGGGACCGCCCAGAGGTCCTGCGGCCTGGTTGAGCCCGCTCCCCCGCAGCTGATCGAGGACCTGCGCAAGCAGCTGGAGCACCTGCAGCTCTTCAAGCTGGAGGCCGAGCAGCGGAGGGGCCGCAGCAGCAGCGTGGGCCTGCAAGAATACCACAGCCGCACGCGGGAGAGCGAGCTGGAGCAGGAGGTCCGCAGGCTCAAGCAGGTGCGCTGGGGCCGCACCCGGCGGGAGGGCCTGCCCTGTGCGCCCGGGAGTGACGCCCTGTGTCCCCCAGGACAACCGCAGCCTGAAGGAGCAGAATGACGAGCTCAACGGGCAGATCATCAACTTGAGCATCCAGGGCGCCAGGAGCCTCTTCTCCACGGCCTTCTCCGAGTCCTTGGCCGCAGAGATCAGCTCAGTCTCCCGAGATGAGGTAACGGCCCCGCCCCCACATGGCCCCGCCCCTCAGGTGCCCCACGCAGCCCGCCCCCCACGTGGCCTGCAGGCATCCGCAGTCCAGGCCCCAGGCACCAACCCCGCGCCCCCCCTGCCCCCCCAGCTCATGGACGCCATTCAGAAGCAGGAAGAGATCAATTTCCGGTTGCAAGACTACATCGACAGGATCATCGTGGCCATCATGGAGACCAACCCATCCATCCTGGAGGTCAAGTAGCCGCGGGAAGGCTCCGCCCAGCATGCCTGGTCTCCCTCGCCCAGCAGGGAGGACACAGCTGAGCCGGGGTGGGGCCGGACGAGGGGCTCAAGGACAGCTTCCGGCTGGGCAAGCCCCTCTGACCTCCCGCGCTTCCCGCCCGGTCGGGGAGGAAGGGAAACGGGTCACCCGGAGTGCTGCTCCCCGTGGCCACCAGGTGCCCTGCCCGGTGCCGTCCAGGCCTGCGCTGCCCCTGGACGGCGCACAGGCCCCAAAACCCTGGCGCCAGACGTGGGGGGAGGATAGGCAGGCGAGGACAGTGCCGTCAAGGTCCAGCCAGGCACTGCTGTGCCCCCAGCTTCCCTGGGTTGTTTGGGCCAGCACCCAACTGGAAGGGGCCCCTTGATCCAGCGTGAAGCCTGGGGGCCTGCGGGTCACAGGGCCGTGCCCCCAGCCACACCCTGGCTGCACTAATCCTATGATGTGAGAGCCACCAGGTGGGGGGTCCCCATGCAGGTGTCCAGTGCTCCCAGGAGTCCACATGTCTGGGGCCAGTTTCCTCCGGGAGTGAGAGGTCTTCAGGAGCTGTGGTCCCTCTGCCAGGTGCACTTTGCAGGAGGCCAGGCAGGGCTGGCTCCCATGTCCAGAGGTCAGGGCCTTCCTGGCGGCTTGGGGGCTCCTTCAAGGAGCAGCAGTGTCACCCCCCGGGGCTGCAGGCCTGCCCCAGGGCCTGAGTACAGCCAGGACCCCCTTGGAGCGGGTGGGGTGGGGGCCCTGCTGGTGCGAGCATGTACGTGAGGGAGTGTGTGTGCGTGCGAGTGTGTGAGCATGTGTGTGGCCCTGTGTCCTTCCGCCCTCTGTGTGGCCCACCTTCTACGCTAAGGTTTAAGATATTGCCTCGTATTGTACATTCTGGGGAAAGCCTTGGGTGTAAATCAGTGTAAACTTGGAGGAGAGATTTTTCTATTATGTAGAGTAGGTATTTTTTATAGATTGAAGGTTGATCAATTTTTTAATACTTCCAAGAGAGAAAACTATCTGTGTATACACATGAAATATATATATATGTACAATAATAAACACTGGAACTCTGCTCCCCGCCCTGCCATGCCCCGCCACACAGCCTGGGTCTGTTTTTGTGAACTTGAGCTGCCCCGAGCCCTTCTCGTAGACGCCGGGCACTGACCTGCACACTCACCCTGTTTTCACCCCAAAAAAGAGCTCCCGGCCACGTGACAGCAGCCTGGATGACATGGGATGTGAGCGCCCAGGGGCCCCAACACCAGTGAGAGGCAGTGCTGAGGGGCTGGCCAGAGGCTCCCTGCAGCATCCCCTGGGCTGGGCAGCAGGAGGCCTGGTCCAGCCAGCCCCTCCCAGAGGCGGTGTGCGGGATTGCCCTGCCAGGCTGGGCCCCCAGGGGAGCCCAACTGGGGCACCTCCTGGGCCAGGGCGATACGGTGGGGCCTCAGGGCTGTGTTCATGGTAGGACAAGGCCCTTGAGTGTGGCCTGGCTGCTGACATGGTGCCAGGGGCCAGCTGGGTAGAACCCATGGATCAGGTAATCATGGATCAAGAGGGCTCCAGGAGGGGCAGGCCAGAGCACCGGAAGGAAGACACTGGAGAGGCACAGGCCCCGTGAGACTGTGGGGGAAGGCTTGACAGGGGGTCCAGGGCAGGAGGGCTCGGGTGGTTCTAAGGGTGAGTGGCCAAGTCTGACTTCAAGGGGGGTGTCAGCTAGCAGTCCCCAACACTCGATTCCCTAGCTAGGTGCCTGTGACACTCAGCACTGAGGTACCTGTGTACCAGACGCAGGTGGAGACAGGCCCTGCCTGACAACTCAGTGGGGCAGAGAGGGGCTTGAGTCAGGGCTACTAACCACGTGGCTCCAGCTGACCGCAGACGGGCCTGCCTGCAGGAAGCAGGGCCCCCTGGCCTCATCCTCAGCTGGGGGTGGGGCACTAGAGGGTTGCCAGGGGCCTGGGCACTGTGGGGGGCAATTGGAGGGTGTGGATGTGTCACGGGAGTTCTGCCTGGAGCCTGCACCCTGGCCAGGATTCCAGGGGGCCTGGAGAAAGGATCCGGCCCCCCTCCATGCTCCTGGTGCTAAGGGGTGGCTCCCCAGAGTCGACTCAGGGCCTCACCAAGTTCAGTAGTGGAGCTGGGACTTGTACCTGTCCCCCCATCCCCGGTCCACGGTCACATGCCCAGGGCAGCCAGGGAGGGCAGCACTGTGCCAGGCCTTGGGCTGCAGGCTTCACCCCTAGGCTCTGGGTGGAGCTGTGCAAGGAGGGGGGCTCAGCACTTGGGGTGCCCAGAGGCTGCAGTTGGTTCAGGGGGGTCAGTGGGTGCCTGGAAGGGCCTTGTCCCCAGCCTGGAGGCACTGAGGGAGTCTCTGCTGGCCCAGGACAGTCAGTGCCTCTGCTTTGACACGGTTACGTCCTGTCTGGAGCCTGTAGGGCCCATCTCTGCCTAGGAGGAGAAGCTAAGTGTGTGTGTGTTGGGGGGCCCTCTCACTCTGTCAGGTAAACCAGAGCCAGGCAGGGGTTTCTCCCTGAATCCCGCTGTCTCTTCCCCTCCTAAACATAGGGGCCTGTCTGCAGCCCTGCTGGTCCCAGCAGCCAACACTGAGGCCCCTCTGCACAGGGTGGGCTGGGAGAGCATGTGACTTAGCAGGGCCTGGCTTCCTAGCGAGCTCTTTACAGGACCCGCCCAGGCGGGGTGTGCCCAGAGTATGGAGAGGCTGCAGGGGACACAGGAGGCCAGAGGGCGTCTCACCCAGGAGGACCCTCCACCCTCAGCCCCAAAGCGGATCCTGTCTCAAGTCAGCACTTCCCTCATGCTGCTAGAGCTGTGGAGGCCAAGGTCTTGGCCTGTTCGTGAACGAAGTGTGCAGAGCAAGGCTCTGCCCCTCCTGCACAGCCGCCCTGGCTCCAGGCTCATTGTGTCCCACACGCACTGCCCGGCCGTGGCTGAGGCCAGCTCAGGCCTGTCCACGCTGAAGGATGGTCGCTCTGCACTCCCAGCCCAGGGGCCCCAGTGCCTGTCGCTCCGTCTGCTGGAGGTTCAGAGACCATGGGATGGAGGCCCCGTGAGGGCATCTCACAAAACAAGTGGTCCTCATGTAAAACCCCGCCAGAGCACAGGTGTGTCCAGTCCTCAGCCGGCTGGCCTCAACTGCCCGGTGCCTGTCACACCAGAAAGGATCCCTGTGCCCACGTCCCAGCAGACCCTCTACTCCTCACGAGCATCTGGGTGTCCTCACTGCTGTGTCCCAAAGCTGAGAAGAGCACGTGGGAGACCTGCCCCCAGGGTCTCCCCTCCCCTCCAGGCGGCTATCTCCTGAAAGTCACCCTCTGCTTTGCGATTCCTTAAAACTTGAACCTGCGCACCTTGGTACATCTGAGATGCTCACAGGCTGATGGCCCTCTTTAGTGCGGCTCACCATGACCTGTCCCTTCCTCCCCACTACTGCAGGCCGTGCCCCTCACCGAGCAGGGCTGGGATGTGCCTGCTCTCTCCCCACCCGGCCCCCAACCAGGACTAGAGTGAGCTGGCAGGAACCTGCCTCAACTTCAGCTGTTTTTCTTGTTAGGAGGCTACAGGGCTGTGGACATCAGCTCTGACCCAGTCACCCCAGGTAATGCACAGGGAGGGAAAGGGAGTTGTGGTCACTGAGCCACCACTAGGAGTCAGCCCTTGACTCTGTCCTCAAGTGATTCTGCAGCTTCCAGGCCTTGGTCAGAGGCCTGTCGCTGCCACCTTCGTGCAGGTGAGGAAGCTGGGGGTGGGCTGAGTCGCCGTGGGCACTCAGGAAGGGGCTGTCTTGGAGGCTGTGTCTGAAGCCCGAGCACCCGGGGTGGGGACGTAGTTGTCCTGGCTGCAGCATCTGGAGAGATGGAGGTTTTCCAGGAGCCCTGAGCGCTGTCCCCGAAGGTCCTACTGACCGGACGCTGGAGCAAACATCACCCAGCTCCCCGTGCAGAAATCCTCTCCGTGTGGAGGCACTACTGGACCACGCCCACTCCTTAAATCTGTCCTACCTAGGGGCCTCCCTCCCGTCTTCCCGCGTGGGCCGTGCCTTCTCCGGCTCCACACGCCCCCCGGAAACCAGGGTCCCGGAGTTCCGCCCTCAGCGTCCCCTCTCCTCACTGCGGCCTCCCCGTGCTTCGCGGGCGCCAGGTAAACCGCTGACACCAAAGCTCTTTCAGGCGGTACTGCTGCCTCCAGAAGCCCTAGGCGACGGAAGGCAGGGGGCCAGAGGCAGGGTCTACCCCCCAGTTCCGCGGCTGCTGGGTTGTCAGAGTGACCTCCTGCTGTCCGACAGGCAGGGACAGAACGCGCCTGAGGGGCCGATTCTGCTCGGAGGCCCCAGGCATCACACTGGCTTCCTCCCTGCCAGGGGTCGAGCTGTGCGCTGTGGCTCCCTCGGTCCTCCGGCGGCCCGGGGGTGCTGGTGCCCCCGCTAGCCGAGGAGAACCCGGGGCTCGGACACGCCATGCGCCCAGGTCACCCCACGAGTGGCGCCGCTCTTGTCGGTCCAGCGAAACTGGAGCGTCGGACCGTAAAGCCTTTGCTGGTCCTGAGGAAACAGAAAAGTTTGGAGGGACCCGGGAAGGAGCTGGCGCGTCTACGGGCCCCACGGTCCTCAGGGGCCACAACCGTATCCGCGGCCGCAGCCTGGCACCTCCCCGCACGGAAACCGGAAGCGTCGTGCCGGGCCGCTAAAGGTCCCGCCCCTTCCTGCGGCCCGGGCATTCTGGGGCTTGTAGTCCTCGTTCCCTCATCGGTACCTCCTCCAGCACAGCTCGCCGCCCGGCAGCGGGCTCGGCCACTTCCCTCGGCGCCTGCGGGCGGGACTGCCGGGGACGTCGAAGGGCTCCAAGTCGAGGCGGCTACAGGCCGCCGCCCCGGAGTCAGCCTCCCGGCCTGCCTCGCGCGCCGCCCTGGACTCCGCCTCCCGGCCTGCCCCGCGCACTGCACTGCCTTGTGGGAGCGGTAGTTCGGCCGCGCGATTCACAGCGCCGCGTGCGCCCCGGGCGCGCCGTAGCCACGGGGCCCCGACCGGGCGCTACGCTACGGAGGCGGCGCAGGGTGCGGCGCGGGCCGGGCTGGGTCGGTGCGCTCGCCGGCTCCGCCACTCAGAGCGAGAAGCTGTCGGGGCCGCGCGCCGACGGCAGAGGGCCCGCCCGCCCTCCGAGAACAAGTTGTGGGCCGGCCGGCGCGGGCGAGCGAGCCGGGCCTCGGGGACTGAGGAGGCGCCGCGGGTTTGCGGAGGTGAGTCCCGTCACCCGGGCCAGGCCGGGGCCGGGGGCGCGGCCTGGACCCCCGGGAAGCCGTGGCCAACGGGCGGCGCCTCCTGGGCACTGGCCGGTCCTGGCCGGGCTGGGGACGCTGCTGGAGAGGGGAGCCGCCAGGACCTCGGGCGCCGGGCAGCGGGAGACCAGCCCAGGGTCTGTAGACGCGGGAGGCGGCCTCAGCCCCTCCTGCCCTTGAGCGCCCTTATCTCCGGTCAGTGTCCCGGCCGCGGCGGCGTTAGGGGAAGTGTCCGGCCCGGCCCGGTGGAGTGGGGGAGCAGGCGCGTCCTGTCTGCCCACTGGCCACCAACGTCGCTTCCTCCTACAGTTCTTTTCCTGTTGGCGCTGGAGCGAACCGAAAAGTTACCCATGGTGGCCCCCAGAGTGTCTGCTGGGCTCCCGGTCCACCGGGCTGCCCACAGGATGGGGGGCCCTTCTGATCCTGGCCAGGGCAGCCTTGTGTGATCAAATGGCCCTGATGGGGCTGGCTCTCGGGCCCCCTTAACACGCAGGAGTTTGTGACCAGACTGCAGACAACAGGACCCCAGTAAGGCCCAGCCTGGGAGTTCGGGGTCTTGTGGCTGCAAGCCCTGCCGAACTGTGGGGGAGCTGGGACTCAGCTGGGTGCTTGGTGGTTCTGTGCTCTCCTGAGACCCCCTCCTGCGGGGCCCCCTCCCTCTGCCTGCGTCTGGGGGCAGTCTAAGCCCCTGTGGGAGGAACCCCCCCGCCCCGGCCCCCAGAACTGGGCTCCAGGGGAGATGGGGTAAGTTGATCTTTCCACTTCTGAGTGCCTTTCTCAACCGTGGGGGAGAAGGGTAGTATTTCAGTGACCCAGGTGCCTGGAGGAGGGCCCCAGATGGGAGGGGAGCCTGGGAGCCCCTGCTCTGCATCTCTGCTGGTGGGCACGGCCTGGCCTTGGTGTCAGGCACCTCTCACTTCCTCTTGGGTGGTTCTGCTCCCAGGATGAGCGCTTCTCTTTTCTTCTGCGTCTGAAGCTCCCCGTGAGCAACCAGACTGGTGACCTCGTGACCTCCTGAAAGCCAGGCTTAAACTCAGTGATTGCTAGGCTTTAGAGATGGAGCTGGTCTTATCTAGTGTCTCTGCTCTAAGGACCCCTGCCCCAGACCAGGTGCTCTGAGAACAGGAAGCGGCTGGGTCCTCAAACCCTTCTGGATGGGTTCACTTTGCTGAAACTCTTTGGTTTCAGGCTCTGCATTAGACTCTCTGGACCCCTGTGTCAGACAGCATCTTGTTGAGCCCCACTTTACAGACAAGAGGCCCAGGCTGAGGGCAGCCGGGCTGTGGAGAGGGATAGGTGGGCTGCACATTCAGTCCTTCCAGCCCCTGCTTCCACCGCCCCCGATGCTTGTCTTTTATTCGGGAAGAAGGATTCTGCACTCTAGAGGTTCTCTAAAACCACGGATGTCTTCGTGGGCCTGAGCGGGTTGCTGAAGAGCCTGTGGGGCTGGGTGTGTAAGAGCCCAAGCTCAGACTCGGCCCGGGTGCTCCCTGCCCCCGGATCAGCTGCTCTTTTGCCCGCACTGACTCCTGCCCTCCCACCTGGCACCCGCAGGAGCGTCCTGAAGCAGGGACATGGTGGTGTCTCTCTTGTCTAACCACTTGTGCCAGGTTCCTAGGCAGGGTCACCCCCCCAGCACCTACCCCCCCCCCACCAAGAGTGCCCAGCAGGCCTGTGGCGTCCCTTTGGTGTCCCCGGCTCCCCATGCCCAGCACTGCCCTGGCCGCACCAAGGCAGGTAGTCAGCGAGTATCCTGCGTCAGCGGCAGGCCGCCCTGGTGACCTGGCTCTGAACTCGGAGGAGCCTCTGGGGGCGTGGGGCCAGAACAGCACCTGCAGCCTCCTGGGGAAGAGGACCGGCCAGCCCGTCTCCACCTTCCTGGATGAGGGGAAGGAGGGTATGGGTGGAGTTTGGACTTGGACACCTGCCCAGGCACACCTGTCACTCTGGGTCACCCTGCGGATGGCTGTGCTGGTGCTGCCAGGATGGTGCAGGGAGCTGGGGGCCACGGGGGAGCAGCGGGGACCTCCTGACGCCCCCAGGACACACTGTCCCTCCAGTGAGGACTTGTCCGGGGCTCCGGTCTCCCTGCCCGTCCTGGCGGCACCATCTTCCTCCAGCGGTGACCCCGCTCCTGCTGTCTGCTTCCCGCTCCCTGGTGGCCGGACTGTGCGCCGGGGCTGGATGGCCCTGCGAGACGTCAGAGGGAAAGCAGGCTGATAGCTGCTACTGACGAGAGCCATGGTGTCCGTGTCCCAAGGAAGCGCCCATGGCTTCACTTCCTCGGCCGTTGGGCCAAGCCTGGAGCAGAGGCAGCGCCTGCTGCCGGCCCCTCCATGGCTGCCCTGCCAGGGCACCCCCCCCCCCAACCCACCGCCCCTGAGGAGGCGGCTGCAGAGATGCTCCCCACGGTCCGTCTGCCTCCCCGGCCTGAGCCGGAGGCTCCAGTACCTTTATGTCTCTGAAGCAACTCTGTCCCCGTGAGGTCTGCGGTCACCAGCCACCCAGGCCGCGCTGCTCTGCGGCCACTTGGCCAACAGAAATGTGGAAGTGCCAGAGGCGTGCGCCTGTTAGCAAGCGGCTCTGAACTTGTGAACTGGAAAGCGAATTCGTGGTGGTGTCCCTGGCTCCCTGGCAGAAGTTTCCTGTTTCTTGACGCTCGACTGAGTGGGTACAACTAGAGACAGAGAACACGCCGGGACCCTGCATCCCATCCTCTGTTCTCCCTGCCAGCGAGCCTCCCCTCACCTGTGGGTGTCACTCTGGGGGACTGTCTCCACCCCTCTCTCCCAGAAAGCAGGGGCCTGGAAGCGGAGCCCTGCTGGCCATGTGACCCGTATGGGGTGGGGGGCCCAGGATCTGGACCACGGCTGGACACGGCGGGGCTGAGGTGTGGAGACAGCGGCTGCCTGAAGCATGTGCAGGCAGGGTCTGCGGCCGGACTGTTTCCTCCCGGGCCGGATAGTGGAATGCTGGTTTCTGTTTTGTTCCTACAGCTGGTTTTTAGGTGACATTGATGGTAACTTTCAGCAGAATCTCAACAGCCCTCTTCTCAAGGTCCTGGCCTGGCCAGTGGGGGTGTCTGGGCCTCACAGTGCACCTGGGAAGGACAGGAGGCATGTGACCCGTGGGCAAGTGGTACCAGGACCTGGGTCCCGGGGAGTCTCGCTGTTTGCCGAGAGCCCTGACCCTCGCCCCACGCACCCTTCCCTGGTGGCTGCAGCCATGGGCAGAGCCAGGCTGCGGAGGCCTTGTCCCCTGTGGCCCTGGCCGGCCTAGACAGTGGTGGCCTTGGACCAGGCAGCGAGGAGCAGCCGAGTCAGGCCCCAGACTGCTCAGTGTGAGGCCCTGCAGCCAGACGGGCTGTGCCCTGGAACCTGGGCTCGGCCTCAGAGGCGAGGCTCGGGGGTGGGTCTTCCAGGCGCTTGGCCCTCCCCACTGGACGGGTCTGGACTTTGGCCCTTGAGTAGCCCAGCCCGCAGGCTTATCGCCAGGACCCAGAGTCCATCAGACAGGGGTGCCAACCTGTCTCCCTGCTGCAGGACTCCGCCTTCCACCCCGAGACCGAGGCGGCACGGAGGCCAGGCCCTGTCCTCGCTCCCCTGGGCTCTGGCTGCGGGTGGGCTGCCCCCAGCCGTCCTCTCTGCTCTCAGTGGGCATGGGCCGAGCTCCTGGTCAGCCCTGGACTTGGGCGTGAGTGCTCCTGCTCCGTGGGCACCTTTGTGGCTTAGCTTCAGCTCGAGGCCTCGGCCGCTCAGGGTTTGGCTGCGGCAAGGGAGTGTTGAAGATGCTCGGAGTCTCTCCCCGGGAAGGTGCCCACATGGGGTTGGGGCAGGAGGCTGGGGGCTGGCCTGGTTGCCATGGAGGGGCAGGTGTCCTGAAGGACCAGCTCGGCGTGGGCCTGACTGCCCACGGCCTGGGCGCCATGAGCGCCCCCTCACAGCCCAGGGCGCAGGACTCCAGACGTGGCCGCCGCCCGAGTGTGACTCGCCCCCGTGGGGGTGAGCATCCGCCGTAGGAGGGGAAGGGCTGCGACTGGAGGCGGGTGGTCCTGGGCTCACATGGGGCTCACCCTGACATCAGGTGGGCCTGGCGGCGTGTCAGGCGTGTCGGGTGACGTGACCCCGATCCCCTGTGCCTGTCCTTTCCACGTGGGTGTTAGGAGTGAGAAGTGACCCCTGCGGCTCGCCGGGCGCTCCCACCAGGCGGCCCTCCTGTCGGTGGATGTGGGGGGCGTTGGCTCTACAGCCGCTGGGGACCCCCCTCACCCCAGTTGGCTCTGGTCGAGCTGAGGGGAAGCCTGAGTGGTGGGTGACTTTCAGGGGCCCCGGGCCTTCGGCAGCCTGTCCGGCCCTGGTCTCGGTCCCTTGGAGGAATAGGTCCAGCAGGAGTGTTGCTACCCGGCTCGCTGGCCTGACTGCAGCACTGAGGACAGGGCCCAGGCCCTTCCCCAACAGAGTCGCTGCCCTGCTGGGAAGGGGCCGTGGGTGCTGGACCTGGGCTGAGGCAGACCAGAAAGGGAAGTGGACAGCCTCGGCGGCCCAGAGGCAGCCCAGGCGTCTTCCCTGGCCTGACTGGGACTCACCTCATCTGAAAGGAGACGCCCCCTTCCCCCCGCCACCTCCCACCTCAGGACAGGTGTACCTGGGCCCATGCCTCCCGAGAGCAGGCAGCCTCCTGGGCCCCTTCCTGCTCACCGTCGCCGGGTCAGGGGAGGCTGTCCTCCGTAAGGGCCGTGGGGGTGACTGTGGATAGTGCCCAGGGCTCACCAGCCCTACTGGGCACTCCTCTTCCAGCTTATTTTCTCTGGTTAAATATCTCCTCGGTCATTTCTTCCAGGGTGAGACCCATTCTGAAGGCCAGCAACTGTGGCAAAGCCGCCTCGCCCCGGGGGCGCCGAGAGGGCCATGCTGGGGGCACCACGGGGCCGGGGGAACCCTGGTGGCGGCCCTGCTGCAGGCGCCCCTGCTGCCCCGGAAGCCGCGCATGCGCTGGGACCCTCCGGGCGCCGTAGTCACGTGTCTCTTCTCTCTCTGTCTCTGTCATTTCTGTTGTGCTCCTCGGACCAGCCCGGCTCTCGAGGCCGCCCTCCTCCATGCTCTGCCTCGCCCGCCACCGCCGGCGCCCTGTGACCAGGCCCGGCGTTCAGTGTGGCTGCCGCGGGGGCCATGGGGAGCTCCGCCTCCTCGCTGGCCGCCGAGACGGAGTCGGACCACGGCTTCCCCCGGGGACCGCCCTGCCCGGGGCCCCCGGCAGCGGCCGGCTGGGGTAGGAGCGGCCCCGGGGGGCCCGCGTGGGGCGACAGCCTGGGCACCCGGCAGCACCCGCCCCCGCGGCCCCGGGCCCGAAGGTAAGCAGGTGGAGGAGGGGTGGCCCCCGGGGGCCTCCCAGACAAGCGGGCCCTGTCCCTTAGGGCCCTCTGGCGACTCTTCACCCCAGAGACCCGGGCGACTCAGGCTGCTCACTGGGCAGAGCACACCCAGGACCCCCTCCCCCCGGAGCTGGGCTGAGGGTCTCAGAGCCGCAGATGGTGGGGCCGAGACTGCCACCGCCTCAGGCCGGGGGCTTGCTTGTCCGCTGGCACTGCAGCGTCTGCTGGAGCTGCTTGCTGGGTAGGGCTGGGGGCATGGCATGCACCGAGAATGCTGCTTGCTTCCTGTGGAATCTGCGGCCCTGCCATGGCCCGCACGCGTGTTACCCTGTGACGTGGCTGCGTACAGAGGCCTGGGGGCTGTGGGTCCCGCTGACAAGCCTCCCTCCACGTGCTCACGTTCTCCAGCTGCAGCTGCGGCTGGACTTGACCCAGACTCCCCCGGCGAGCTCCACCTCCGGGTGCTGAGGTGAGGCCAGCTACGCTGCCCACACACAGATACCCCAGCTTCTCCGCGTCCTGCAGCCTGGCTGGAGGGTGAGGGGCGCAGCAGACACTCAGAGTCCACCGCCCTTGGGCCAGAGGTGGCACTTGGCCTCCTCGGGGCCCCAGCCCACCTCAGGGGCTGCAGATACCGCCCTCCGCTGGTGGCCCTCAGCGGGCACTTCATCAGACACAGCTCAGTTGTGCAGGACAGTACCTGGTGTGTGTGGGCCATGAGCATGTCCTGGGCTCACCATCTAGGCGGCTGGCCCGTGCGTGGAGCAGGACCTGGGTCTTGGCAGGCTTCTGGGGGTCACCGCGCGACCCCAGTGAACAGTCGTGGAGGCCCGTGGTCCAGAGGGACGGCTGGGGAGCAGAGGGCTTCGGGTCCCTGTGCGGTCAGTGATGGCTTTGGATGGCACTCCCCTGCCGTCAAGGGCTCTGCTCACACAGTGGGAATCACACGGTGTGTGGCCTCTGTGTCTGCTGCTCACTGAGCGTCGTGCTCTCGGGCCATCCGCGTGGTAGCAAGTGTCGGGACTTTGCCCCTTTATGGCTGAGCGATGCTCTGCCGTGTGAAGTAGGCCTGCTGGTTACTGATGGGCACTCGGACTTGCAGCTCTGCCGCTGTGGACGTGTGTGGAGGAGTTTGTACAGACGTGTGTTGTCACCTCCCTTGTGTGGCTACACAGAATGAGGTTGCTGGTGTTTACTGTAAGTTTACGTTTAACTGTCTGAGGAGCTGCCAGGCTGCTCTCCACAGTGGTCGCGCCATTTCCCAGGCCCCCAGCCATGCAGGGAGGGTTCTGGTTTCTCCACACCCTCCCTGCGCCGTCCTGCCTGCATGCAGGGTGGTCGCCAAGCTGCTCTGACTGGCGTCTCCCCAGGGGCCAGAGCATCTCCTCGCGCCCTCTCCAGGCACACATGTTTCATTTCCATGTATTTACGTTCTCAGGGCAAGTCGCTGGGGAGGGGGGAATTGCTGGGCCTCAGGGAGGGGTACAGGCCCCGAGGCGGGTGGCAGAGATGTCACCGGTCTGGCCCGCACCCTCTTATTCTCCTGCCCAGCGCCGCCAGCAGTTAGCTGTGCCGCCTGGAGTGAGTCAGGAGGAAGAGCCGCCAGTGACCTTGAGGAATCCACAGGCACCCGACTAGACACTAGAGGGGCAGGCGGGGGCTGGTGGGGCAGAGGCAGGCTAATGCTCCCCACACCTCCGCTGGACACGTGGACACACGCGTGTGGGTGGCCCGGCCAAGCTGTCCCTGCCCTGAGGGGCTCCGTGGGGACCTGCCGCACAGCGCCCCCTCCATTGAGGAGCCTGCAGGTCTGGGCTTGGTCCCATCGCCAGGTGGACCGGGAGCTGCAACGCCCAGAGGATCTGGGGTTGGTGTGGGCGTCGGCCCCTGAGAGCTGCAGGCCTGCCCTGGGGACACAAGCCGAGGGGATGGTGCAAAGTTGGCTGAAGGTGACCTTGGAGGGAGGTGCCCGTGTGCCCCTTGGGGCCAGCTGGAGGTCAGGGTCAGGTGGGCGTCCTGCTGGGCAGCGCGGCCTCAGGTCCGCTGACCTCTGACCAGCAGGGTCCTTGAGTGGGGACCCAACTTACTCCACTTAGCTTTCCAGGGGGCCGAAGGCCGTCTCCCAGCTGCTGCAGCCCCCGTGTCCCGGGAGCACCCACCCTCGCCTGCCTCTGACCTGGGGCTGAGGCTGTAGCCCAGAGAGCCGAGGCTGAGTAGGCGTGTGCTGTTCACCCCACCTGCGGCTTTCGCTGTGTCCTGAGGGTGGGCGCCCAGCCCCTGAGAGCTCCTGGTGCTTGGGAGCGTCTCTGTGGAGGCTCTGGTACATCAGGGTGCTGGGAGGTGACCCTGGCTTTGGGGCTGGGCTGGTGAAGGCCCAGGTTCTTCCGGACACCCCACCGCTGCCCCCTGAGCCGCTTCGTCCCCGCCCACCCCGTGACACCGAGACTGAGGCGTGGGTCGAGCAGGTCCCTGAGGGAGGCAGCCCGCACCGCCTCCCGCCCTCCCGGGATGCCAGCCGAGGACCCCAGTGTGGCCTCGTGCTCATCCGGGCCGGGCCCGGCCAGCTGTCGGCCTGTAAGGGGTGAAGGGTGAGGCTTCCTGCCCTCCTGTGTGCTCAGCACACCTGGACCACTGGGGGCCTGGAGCCAAGGGCTGGCCTGAGTCTCCCCCCAAGTCTTCCCCCAGGCCGCGGGGGCACACGGGGCGCGGGGCAGCCGTCCAAGCCTGGGCCCGGGCTCCAGCGTGTGTGTGGCTTGTCTGTGTGGCCACGTGGGCCTTCTCGCTGGGAAGCAGCAGGGGGGTTTCTTAGGCTTTGGTGATGCAGAAGCCCAAGCTGACCCGGCTAGGGTGCGTCCAGCACTCGGGCGCTGCGGCAGCTGTGGACAGCCCCGAGGCTCACCCACACACCCGGGGAGGCGGCATCGGCCTGCGCTGGGCCCAGGAACCATCATGCTGCTTGGGGGAGGGTTTCTGTTTGTGTCTTGAAGAGGGAAGTTTTCTTTCTTCCTGGAGTGTTTGGCGTAAATGTAGCATGAGAAGCGCGAGCTCCACGCCTCTTTGTAAAAGAGCAGTTGATGTTTCTGCCGAGCAGATCAGCTACCGTCAGCAAGAGAGCGTGGACGCCCCCCACGCGGGCTGGCCTCGAGCGGCCGGTGAGGGTGAGACCCTGCTCAGCCCTCGGGAGCAGCTGGCTCCTGCCTCTGAGTTTGCCCATCCTGAACCTTCCCGTGGGTGAATCATGCCATGTGTCGGGGCCCAGTGCTGGCGTGTGTCCGCGCTTCGCTCCTGGCTGCTGAATGGTGTTCCATGTCTTGTTTGTCCATTTACTCATTGATGGACACTTGGCTTGATTCCACCAGTTGGCTGCTGTGGGCAAATCTGCTGAGCATGTGTGGATGTGTGCTGGTGAAGAGCACGTACCTGGGGTGGAATTGCTGGGTCTTAACTGTGGTCCTTCCGTAGCTTCTGGGGAGCCATCTAACGGTTTCCCGCAGCAGCTGTGCTATTCTGCGCTCCCCCAGCGACGTGGGAGACCGGGTCTCTCCAGCTCCAGGTCCTGGCAGCCGTCCTGCCGGGTGGGCTGGTGCGCTTTGCATTTCCCTGACTGACCTGCTGAGCAGCTTTCCACGGGCTTCTCCGGATCTCTGGGGAAAGTCGCCTCAAATCCTCTGCCCATTTTTAAAGCCAGGTTTTTGTCGTGTGGTCGTAAGAACGTTTCATACATTCTGGCTGCTAAGCCCTGATCAAACACACGGTTTGCAAAACACACGGTGGTCTCCCGTAGGATATCTTTTCACTTTCTTTATGGTGTCCTTTCATTCATGGAAGATGTTAGGTTTGATGTTCTTTTGCTTTTTCCTTTGTTTGCCTGCACGGTCATGAAAATTTACCTACATTTTCTGCTTCTAAGAGTTTCATAGTTTTCATTCCCACACTTATGTCATTGATCCATTTTGAGTTAAGTTTTGAATATGGCGTGAGGTACGGGTCTGACTCCTCCTTTAGCATTTAGATCCAATTTTCCTAGTGCGTTGGTTGAAAAGACCATCGTTCCCCCCTGAACACTCTTGATGCCCTTGTCAGAAACCCCTGACCACGGCCTTCCCTTGCAGCCACACGCACTCGCCCGGGCCCATGGCCGCGGTCGGGGAGTGGGCCTGCGCACGCTGCACCTTCCTGAACCCGGCTGGCCAGCGCCAGTGCTCCATCTGCGAGGCCCCGCGGCACAAGCCCGACCTGGACCAGATCCTGCGACTCAGCGTGGAGGAGCAGAAGTGGCCGTGTGCCCGCTGCACATTCCGCAACCTTCTGGGCAGGGGGGCCTGCGAGGTGTGTGGCTTCGCCCCTGAGCCTGGCCCAGGGGCCTCCCCGCTGCCCATCATCAACGGGGCGCCCCCAGAGCCCCCGGGCAGCTGCCGGGACGAGGCGGGGCCCCTGCAGACAGCGGGGCCGGTGGCCGTGGAGCCAGCGGGCGGCCGGCCAGCGGAAGCGGAGGGGCAGGAGGGGGGCGCGGCCGTGCCTGGGAGCGGCTGGGCCTGCCAGCGCTGCACGCTGCATAACACTCCCGTGGCCAGCTCCTGCTCGGCCTGCGGGGGGCCCCGGAAACTCTCGCTGCCCAGGATCCCTCCCGAGGCACTTGTGGTCCCGGAAGTTGTGGCTCCTGCAGGCTTCCCCGGCGTGCCGGCCCCTGCCCAGCCTGGGGAAGGTGCCGAGGCCAACCCTCCTTCTGCCGTGGACCAGGAGCCCCCCCGGGGGCCACCCTTCAGCCCGTTCTCGCCCACCCTCCAGAACAACCCTGTGCCTCGCAGCCGCCGCGAGGTGCCCCCCCAGCTGCAGCCACCGGTGCCTGAGGCCGCCCAGCCCTCGCCCTCTGCCGGCTCCAAGGGGCCCCCCCAGGGTCTAGGGCGGCCCGCAGCCGGGGCCTCCCGCCTGTCAGAGCTGCTGTCAGGCAAGCGACTGAGCTTCCTGGAGGAGGAGGCGGCTGAGGGGGGCCCTACGCTGCGCCTCCCGGGGCCCGCCAGCCCTGCGCACTGCGAGGCCGGCAGCACGACGCCGGGCAGCGACATCATTGACCTGGGTGGCGACAGTGTGCGTTACACGCCGGCCAGCCCCTCCAGCCCTGACTTCACCACCTGGTCGTGCGCCAGGTGCACGCTCAGGAACCCCACGGCGAACCCCCGGTGCACGATGTGCGGCTGCTCCAAGCTTCACGGCTTCCAGGAGCACGGCGACGCCCCCTCCCACTGCCCCGACTGCAGTGCAGACAGGCCCGGGCCCTGCCCAGCCCACAAGGCCGGCCGCCCCCTCCCCGTGGCGCCGTCTGAGCGCCCAGGCCAGTGGGCCTGCCCTGCCTGCACCCTCCTCAATGCGCCTCGGGCCAAGCACTGTGCCACCTGCCACACCCCCCAGCTCCTGGCGGCCCAGCGCCGGGGCGTGGCGCCGCTGCGGCGCAGGGAGAGCGTGCTTGTGGAAAAGCGGCGGCAGACGGATGAGGGCGAGGCCAAGGCCCTTTGGGAGGACATCGTGGCCTTCTGCCGGGAGGTGCGGCCCTGCGGCGGTCCCTTCGCCCCCGAACCTCAGCTCCGGTGACCCCCATGTGACCAGTCACCTGAGATCCTCAGGCCCTTCTCCTTCCGTGTCCGCGAGGGTCCTGACCCCTCACCCCCAGCGTGAGCACCAGCAGCAGTGGCCTTACGGGCAGGTGGGGACAGGCAGGCCGGGTGCCGCCCCTGGTTGCAAAACCCCAGCTGAGACAGGTGCCCCGCGTGCTGTCTGCTCTTGGACTGCAGGAGGCTAAGCCCAGGGTGTCACCCCCAGGGCCCTGGGGGGATCTGTCCCCCGGGCTGCTGCCCTCTGTCGCTGCTGGCAGCCCGTCCAGAGCTGTGTCCCGGCCACCCTGCCCCCCTCAGACCCCCCACCTCTCTTCCTAGGGCCTCTGGCGCCCCACACCCACACCTGGAGCCTCCAGGCTGGGCCCCACACTGTCCCCTAGGGCGCACATTCCTCCCATTGGCCTGTCGCCAGCCTGCTGTGCCCTGGCTGACTGCAGTCCACAATGCCTGCACAGGGTGGTGTGGGCCTCACAAGGCTCAGCCATGCCATCTGCAGGCTGAGGGCTGCTCTCTGCCCCACTTCCTCTCGGGCTCAGGCAGCTGGGCACTCTTGGGGTGGGGTGGGGTTCCGCCCACCCTGAGTTATGGCCGTGGTCTCTGCAGAACAGTGTGAACTTTGTGGACGACAGCTTCCCCCCCGGGCCCGCGTCTGTGGGCTTCCCCGCGGGTGACAGCGTCCAGCAGCGCGTGCGACAGTGGTTGCGGCCGCACGAGATCAACTGCTCCGTCTTCAGGGACCATGGCACCTCCTGGTCCGTGTTCCACACACTCCGGCCTTCTGACATCCTGCAGGGTCTCCTGGGGAACTGCTGGTGAGTGTGGGGCTCCCACCCGGGGAGGGCGGGCCAAGCTCCCACTGAACCCCGGTCTCGTGCAGGTTCTTGAGCGCGCTGGCAGTGCTTGCTGAGCGGCCAGACCTGGTTGAGCGGGTGATGGTCACACGCAGCCTGTGTGCAGAGGGTGCCTACCAGGTGAGGCTGTGCAAGGACGGCACGTGGACGACAGTGCTGGTGGACGACATGCTGCCCTGCGACGAGGCCGGCTTCCTGCTCTTCTCCCAGGTGGGTGGAGGCGCAGGCGGGCGGGCAGCAGGCAGGAAGAGGTGGCGGCCTCACGACTCCAGCCCCCCCCACAGGCTCAGCGCAAGCAGCTGTGGGTGGCCCTCATCGAGAAGGCGCTGGCCAAGCTGCACGGCTCCTACTTTGCGCTCCAGGCTGGGCGCGCCATAGAGGGCCTGGCCACACTCACCGGTGCCCCCTGTGAGAGCCTAGCCTTGCAGGTCAGCTCCACGAACCCCCGTGAGGAACCGGTGGACACTGATCTCATCTGGGCCAAAATGCTGAGTTCTAAAGAGGCTGGGTAAGAGGGACAGCCATGCTGGGGGCCTGGAGCAGCAGGAGTAGTCAGGCCAGCGCCCTGATCTGCACCCATGTTTCACAAGATATTTCTGGTACGGGCTGACAACAGCTTGGAGGCCCAGCTCCCCATGCTGTGCTGGCCACCTCACCTGCTCGGATGGGGTGAGGGCACGCAGGGTGCTGTCCGTTGGCTTGTACCTAGAAGGCCCTGTCCTGACCTGGGCCTGTGATGACCGTCAGCATCCTTGGGGGTCCACGTGGAGTGAGCTCCATGGTGGTACCTGGCAGTAGCAGCCCCTAGGGTGGACGGATTGGGGGAGTGGGGGCTTCTGAACTCAGGCGTGCACTGGCCAGTGTCTGGGGTGGGCCCAGGACCCTTGCCCTCAGCTGTGGTGGGCAATGGCACGGCTCCACCCCTTGGGGAGCAGCATCTCTGAGCTAGCTGGTAGGGCCCCCAGCCTTGCCAGACCTCCAAGGGACCCAGGCCTGCCCGCCTCAGCTCGGCCCATCACTTCCTGAGCCCTGGCATCCCACGTGGGTCTCCCACAGTCAGGGAGACCCCCTCCTGGAGCTGCACCTCCCCGAGGCAGGCCAGGACAGCAGATGTCCCCTAGAGAGAGAGCCCACCCCAATACCAAGGGGCCCCAGTCAGCGGGCTGCTCTAACTGCGCAGGTTCCTCATGGGCGCCTCCTGTGGTGGGGGCAACATGAAGGTGGACGATGCTGTCTATGAGAGTCTAGGCCTGCGTCCCCGCCACGCCTACTCCATCTTGGATGTCCGGGATGTCCAGGGCTCCAGGTAAGGATGGGCATGGCCATGGGCGTGGCGGGGCCATGGGTGTGGCCCCCAACCCTGTAGTCTGTCCATAGGCTCTTGCGCCTACGGAACCCGTGGGGCCGCTTCTCCTGGAATGGCAGCTGGTCAGACGAGTGGCCACACTGGCCAGGGCACCTGCGGAGTGAGCTCATGCCACATGGCAGCAGCGAGGGTGTCTTCTGGATGGAGTACAGTGACTTCGTCAGGTACTGCCCACTGCTCACCTTGGTGTATACAGCATCTTTCCCAGGAGCTCGGCCTTTTTACTGCATGGCATGGGCTGCTTCTGCTGGGACCCTGCCCGTGGGTCAGCCTTAGGGCCTGGCGCCCCTGGCGGTGTCCGCAAACAACAGCCAGAACTGGGGTTTCTGAACACAGATTCCAAGAACTGCCAGCAGCAGAGGAGCCTGCTGCGGTCACCCTGCCCAGGGTCGCATGCCGTGCGGGCAGCTGGGTGGAGGCTGCTCAGCTGACTATCCTCTCGCTGCCCAGGTACTTTGACTCCGTGGATATCTGCAAGGTGCACTCGGACTGGCAGGAGGCTCGGGTGCAAGGCAGCTTCCCCAGCTCGGCCAGTGGGCCGGTGGGCGTGACGGCCCTCACGGTGCTGGAGCGTGCCTCCCTGGAGTTTGCCCTCTTCCAGGAGGGCAGCAGGTGGGCCGGGCGGACTGGGGGCGGGAAGGCGGGGTGTCGCGGGTCTAGGGGTGGGGCCTGGCCACTGGCGACCTTTCCGTTCGCCCAGGCGCGCGGACTCAGTGGACAGTCACCTCCTGGACATGTGTGTCTTGGTGTTCCGGGCCTCCTTCGGTAGCGGCGGCCGCCTGAGCCTGGGCCGCCTGCTAGCCCACAGCAAGCGCGCCGTGAAAAAGTTCGTCAACTGTGACGTGATGCTGGAGCCGGGCGAGTATGCCGTGGTGTGCTGTGCCTTCAACCACTGGGGCCCCGTACCCGGCCCACCCGCTCTGCAGGGTAGGTGACCAGGTGGCCACAAGGCCCCAGGCCCCGCCCCACACAGCCCAGGTCTGCCCACAGCCCCCAGGCTCCGCCCACACTGTCCCTATCAGCACGGGCCCGCCCACAAGGGCCCAGGCTCCGCCCACACCCTGCCCATCAGCGCGGCTCCGCCCACACGGTCCGGGCGGCACACAGGAGGAGGGCTACCCGCTCCCTCCCTCGGTGCTCCTTGCAGCCTCCAGCCCCTCAGCGGGGGCCCCGCGCAGCACCCCAGAGGCGCCTGGCCACGTGCTGGCCGTGTACAGCTCAAGGCTCGTCATGGTGGAGCCCGTGGAGGCCCAGCCGACCACGCTGGCCGACGCCATCATCCTGCTCACGGAGAGCAGGGGCGAACGGCACGAGGTGGGTGGGCGGGCGTGGACCCTGGGGGTGCGGCAGGAGGTGGCTGCCCACGGCCCGCCCACCCATACCTGCACTGCCTGCACCCAGGGCCGCGAGGGCATGACCTGCTACTACCTGACGCACGGCTGGGCAGGGCTCATCGTGGTTGTGGAGAACCGGCACCCCAAGTCTTACCTGCACGTGCAGTGCGACTGCTCTGACAGCTTCAACGTGGTGTCCACGCGCGGCAGCCTGCGCACCCAGGACAGCGTGCCGCCCCTGCACAGGTGCGCCCCGCCCCGCCCTGCCCCCGGCGGCCCGCTGGCCCCGCAGGCCCTCACCGGCCCCCTCCCCCAGGCAGGTCCTGGTGATCCTGTCACAGCTGGAAGGAAATGCCGGCTTCTCCATCACCCACCGCCTGGCGCACCGCAAGGCAGCACAGGCCTTCCTCAGCGACTGGACGGCCTCCAAGGGCAGCCACAGCCCCCCACTGACGCCCGAGGTCGCTGGCCTGCACGGCCCCCGGCCGCTGTGACCTCCCTGCCCCCACCCGCCTGCCCCCACACGCACTTTATGAGGGAGACCCCAACAGGACGCTTGAACCACAATCTCAGGACCCCCACCCAGGGAGCTCCAGCCACAGGCACAGCTCCCCTGGCCCTCCCCCCCGCCCTTCCCTCTTGCCCAGGGCCTCCCAGCCACCCAGCAGATTACCTCGAACCCATCTCCAGCTCTAGGGGGCCGTGTGCCAGCCTCTCTGACCAGCCCACCTTGAGGTCTGGCTTCAATCTCCAGGATCAGGGTGAGGCTGCCCCTTCTCCATGGGCCTGGGTCTCCTTCTCTGGTCAGGCAGCCATGTGCTCCAAAACCAAATCTGGGCAGGTCAGAGGCCAAGACCCCACCCAGAATGAGAGCAGGGACCACCCTCGTCATAGGGGTCAGAGGTCAGGATTCCAGGTTGAGAGCAGGGACCATTTCCATTTTGTGATCAGAGGCCAGGACCCTGAGATGAGCAAGGACCAGCCCTTTGTTGGGTCAGGCCAGGACCCCAGGGTGAAAGTAGGGACCATCTCTATTTTAGGGGATCAAGGCCAGGGCCCAAGGATGAGAGCAGGGACCACTCCAGTTCGGGGAGGTCAGAGGTCAAGATCCCAGGGTGAGAGTAGGGACCACCCCCTTGTGGCCAGAGGTCGAGAGCCTTCCCTCAGTTTGCCCCCATATCCCACCTCACCCCCAAGCCCTCATGCGGCCAGCAGGGGTCCCTAGAGCCCCAGCAGGGTCCGAGAAGGCAGGTGCCTGGCAACTGTGGGCTGAACCAGGGTGGGGAGGGACACTATGCAATTCCTGGCGCGCCAGCCAGGATCGAAGCCATGCCCTGGGCCGGGGCTGGGGTGGTGGTCAGGTGGGCCTGGGCCCAGCCCTGTGCTTAGCACCACCTGACCTGCAGGAGAAGCAGAGTCCCAGAGTCCCCTGGGCCATGTCCAGGCGCAATCAGGGTGGGCCCCAGCCCCACAGCCCTCCCGCTGAGCCAGCGTTCTCCCTGTCTGCTCAGCCCTGAGCTCTGTCTGCCTGGGGACGACTAAGGCCGCTTCCTGGGTGCCCGGCCTTGCTGCCCGGCAGCCTTCTGGCAGCGAGCGGCCCTGCCCGTAGTCCCTTGCTTTCCATGGGGCTGCGGGGTCGGGCGGGGGGGGGGGCAGTTTCACAGCTGGAGAAGCACTAGACCCCTGGCCCCCTTTGTACTCCTCCTGTCACTCTGAGTGGGGGGTTCACACCTGGAGAAGCACTAGACCCCCCCCCCCGCCCCCTTTGTACTCCTCCTCTTACTCTGAGCTGTGAGTATTTTTAACCTTGTACATACGGCAGCTCTTCTGATGCAGAGACTATTTTATCAACGTCAGCGCCATCCCCGTAGGATGACCCCATGGGTGTTTCCAGACTCAGGCTCCGACGGACCAAATAAAGATGTTTTGTTTTGTAAGTTCGTTCTCGTCTGTCTCTCCCAGGGGCCTGTGGCCCCTGGGCTCCTCTCTGGGACAGCTGTGCCCACCTAGGGACAGCCTCTCTGGGGTGCCTGGGTTGGTACCCAGGCCTGCCTCCCAGGGAGCCTTCAGGGGCACCCTGCCACCCGCTGCCTGCACCCCAGGAGGGATGGGGCATCCAGGTGGGGCAGTGGCTCAGGTCCAACCCTGCGGTGGTTCACAGACTGGCACCCATGAAGCCTCAGAAGGGCCCTGCCTGTGCCGGGCTTTTCCTAGAGAGACAGCTGCGTTCCAGGCGCCTGTCTGGATCTGTTTGTCACGGTGGAGCAGAGGGTGTGCGGGGCTGGGAGACGGCCGCCCTGTGCCCACTCCCTGCCAGGCTGGGCGGTGTGCAGCCCGCAGTCCTAGCCCAGGCTCCATGTGGGGCCAGGCGGGCCAGTCTCCCAGCGAGAAGGGGGCTGGGGTGCCGAGGCCGCGCTGGGTGTAAGAGGCCTGTCTCGGGCCAGCCTATCGAATGTGAAAGCAATTAAAGCCACCAGCAGTGTTCGCTCTGGGCGGGCCTCGGGCGGCGGGGAGCTGCCACAATGCATCTCCGCTCAGCGCCTGGAGACGCACCCCCACCCCACCCCCCACTCTATCCACGGCTGCGCTGGACCTGTCCTCGGGGGGCTGGGCTCCGTCACCCCAGGGCATCCCAGGGAGCCTGGGCCCACATCGCTGCAGCCCCGAGACGCCCAGGACGTGAGAGCTGACGGGCCCGGGGGCTGCCTGCCTCCCTGTCGGCTGGCCTGGAGACCCCAGCCTGTGCCTGTCCCCTTGGACACTTTCCCCGGCAGGGAGGGCTGAGGAAATCGGGGTCCGGGGGCCCGCGGCTAAGACCCTTCTTGGGGATGCAGCTGCCCCCGGGAGGTGCTATGGGCGCCGAGGTGCGGCCTGGTGGCACCTGAACCTAAGCTGGTGCGGGTGGTGGGCGAGGCACAGCCTCCTGACGCGTGCCTGCAGGGGCGCCTGTCCCGGGCCGCGTCCCCCCACGCCCCCCGTCCTCGCTGGCTGGGGCCCCTCCTGGCCCTCGCCCAGACTGCTTGGCTGCCCACCCGTTGGCCGCGGTGGCCTTCCCGAGGCGGGTGGCGGGGTGTTCTCACTTGTGAGGCAGCCCTGTCAGAAGCACTTAGTGTACAAATTAGCTGCGGCCTCCCGCCTCCTCCGCGCTCTGGGCTCGGCTCCGCAGACTCCCGCCCGCCCCGGGCGCCTGCCCACGACAGCCGCGGCCAGCCGGCTCCTCCGTGGCCCCCGACCTTGACCTGGACGGGGGTGACCACGAGGGGCGGGCGTCCGGTGGGCCGGAGGGGCTCCCGCTCTCAGCCCAGCACCAAGCTGGCCCTGAGCTCCAGGGCCAGAGTGCAGAGCCATGGGGGGGACAGACCCCAAGCCACACAGAGACTGCAGCCCACGCTGCCCCGCCTGCCGGCCGGCCTGCCACTCAAGCAGGGAAAATCGCCTGTGACAGGCCCAGGAAGGCCGGGCCCCGGGGGCCGCGCGGGACACGCACAGCTCCTCTTCCAACATATGGTTGCTGTCGGCCCCGGGCGCTGCTCGGCCAGCGCTCCAGAGCTCCGCGGCCTGAGCTGCGCCCCCACCCGCCCAGCCGGCTGCTCCCGCGGATCCACACGGCCCCTGCCCCACTGGCATGCGTCCCCCGACGGGGAGCTCACTCCCACGGCAGCCCCTTTAGCGAGCAGCCAGGAGCCTCTGGTTACAGGACCTCCAGCGCACGTGGAGCCGCTGAGCGAGCTTTGGGGGAGGGGCCGGGGGTGCTTCCAGAGGATGGCGCTGGTTGGGGGAGGGCTGCAGTGCGCAGGTTTGGGGCCAGAGGCCTTCTGGGGTCTGGCCAGAGGTCTTCTAGAGTCCCAGTGCCAGGAGCCTCCCAGCTGCATACCCCCTCCCTCCCTCCCAGCTGCATACCCCCTCCCTCCCTCCACTCTGCCCCATGTCTTGGGTGGGCTGGGTAGCCCCACGATGCCCTCCCTGGAGCACGCCTCCCATGGGTATGCTCCCCACCCCCCACGTGTCTGTGGTGAGGTCCCTGAACCTGTTTGCAGCCCCCACCAGTGTCAGCCAGTCCCGTCAGCGTGGCTTTGCTGCCCCTCACAGACCTGCAGTGAACCTGCTGTGGCTCCCCAGTGCTCTCAGGGCCCCAGGTGTGACCTTGCCCCTGGGAACCACGCCATGAGTCCCTGAGGCCACCTCAAGTGTGCAGGAGGGAAGTGCCAAGGACGACCCAGGCTCTGCCCGTGGTGGGGCTCTCGGACACTTGGGGGGCTGCTGTGTCATCAGCAAGAGGGTGACCCTGAGCCACGGCCACCGTCTGCCTGGCGTTGACCCCTCCTGGGGCTCTTAGACCCTGCTCACGGGCTGTGCCACTGTCCCTCTTCCCACGGGGTGAGCAGAGGCTGCCCGGCCCCAACACCAGTCCTGGTGAGGGCCGCGCATGGATGCTGAGGGGAGGAGACAGGCCTGCCTCGGGCACCACACCGCTGTCCCCCTGCCTTCCCTGGACCCACTGTCTGTCCTGCCCACGTGCCCCTGGCGCACAAGTGCCGGCATCAGTGGAAGTGACAGGTGCGCAGCCTTGGGCAAGCGGGCAGAGCAGGTTAATGGCCACGAGGCCTCCAGCTGGAGGCAGAGGGAGGGGCTGCGTGTTCCCCCCCCCCCCCGCACCAGGACAAGCTGAGGGAAGGCTGCTCCCTAGGGCGCCCCCCCACCTCAGTCTGCAAGCCCAGACCGATACCTGGGGAGCGTGAGCAGAGGTTTCTGGGCTCAGGCCACAAGGGGATCAAGCCCCTGAGCTCGGGGTCCCTGACACTGTCTCGGGTAGGGCCAACTCCCTGGGCCCGAGCACGCCCCAGCATGTTGGGGTGGGGCCTGTGGGTGGGTCACTGCAGGGTGGAAAGTGGGACAGGAACAGAAATGCCCCCGGTGGCTCAGGTAGAGCCCCGCTGACCGGCGTCCCCTGCTGCGGCTGCGGCAGCCTGTGCACCCTGACTCAGCACTGGGGACAGGCCATTAGGCTGCGGCTGCAGCCAAGCTCTGGGACCCCTGCTGTGCGCTCGAGGCCCACCTGCACCCCTGGCAAGACCCCTCCTGGAGCCTGGCCACGCCCCTCAGTTTGAGCTCAGGGGGCGGGACTGCTCCTTGTCCCACCCAGAGTCCCGGGAGGGCCATCCACAGGGTGGAGATGGCCTCCAATAGCCTCTTCCCCTCTCTCCTGGGCTTCACCAGGCTGTGCTGAGACGCCCCTCCCTTCTCCCGGAGGGCCGGCAGCAGGGCCTCCCAGAGACCAGGAGGAGGAGTCAGCCGTGGGGGGCCAGGAAGCTCAGTGTCACCCCTGGGACCCCCAGCCCCAGGTCTCAGGGTGACCTGTGCCCCCTGCCCCGTCTGAGTGTGTCCGGAGTGGGGTCTGTGTGCAGAAGGAGCAGGCCTCCTGGCCCCCACGCTCCACAGAGCTGCTGGCGTGACGACCGCTCAAGCTGTCTCCCGGCCTGGGGCTGCCTGCACGGTCAGCTGGTCAGCTGGGCCAGGCCAGGCGGGCAGAGAGGGACGGCTGGTGGGCCGTGCCCCCCCGCAGCCCTCCAGCCCTCCCACCCTGCCCGGTGGGCTTGCAGGGGGGAAGTGGGGTCTCCCCAGTTGTATCAGGGAGGGTGACACTGGACAGTCACCCTCACACCAGTGTCCTGGCACCGGATGCCCCCAGAACATGGCGCCCTGCTCCTTACAAACGCCGGTCAGGGCTGACCGGAGCGCCAGCGACAGCGCCGTGGCCAGTCACCCTCCTGCGCAGCCGGAGCCCAAAACCGCGGCCAGGCTCACAGGGCCCAGAGAGCTCCATCCCAGAGACCCTACAGGACACGCCCTTGCCCCCAGAGTGCCCCCGTCCCCGCACTGAGCTGGCTGCCCTGGGCTTTGATGGGGGCTCTAGCAAAGGTGGAGTGGATGCTCACGGGGGCCTCTGGGGCAGCACACGCCCCTCCGACGGCCGACCCCACCCCACTCCTGAGATGGACATCACGCACCTCCGGGTTCGGACACCGTCCCCTAAACAAAGGCAAACATCCCCTGAGGAACACAACTGGCCTGGCCTGCGGTCTGTGTCCACTTCCAGAATGGTGCTGGCTGCTCAGGGGGACTTCTGCTAGGACCCAGCTGTGACGTGGGGCCCCAGACTATTGTGTTGGACGTTTGGTATCAACATGAAGTTGAGCTCCACGGGCGGTGGAGCGGCTCAGGCTG